GAAATCAGCTTCAAAGATAAAAAGTAGTCGAACCAGTTGATCACATGTTAGAAACTAAGATTTACAACACCTTCAATCATCATTGAAATCATCCAAATCAGTGGAAGGCTTTGAAAGAAAGATATAACAAGTAAGTGACCGAATTCTTGGGATGGTATATCAAGTTTCATACTCCCGAAATGTGCGGATGTATTATACCACGGATTAGGTAACACTCCCAGTTGATCGTATTCAGAAAACAGCATACCATCTGCATGGAAAGATACTAAAATAATCCCTTTACATAGGTCGGTGACTTCAGATGCATGTTTGAAATTCAATCCGATTCCCGTTACTTCTCTGTTCTTGAAAGTGATGCAGAGGTTAATAATACCTATGCATGAACCCTCATTTGAGGTTTGCGGAGACCCTGAACAACTAGCATGTGGAAGGAAAAGAGGCACTGTGGATGCCACTACCGTCTTATATCACAATACTGCTCATAATCTCGACACAAGTGCCAAGTATGTCAGGTGTGTCTTTTCAGACTACACTTCAGTGTTTGATTCTGTTCCGAGATCTCTTATGCAGAACAAGTTGGCCGAGACAAATACTGAGTTCTGGACAGTCAGCCCGCTCTACTCCTATTTCTCTGGAATGACAAAACATACTGTTCACACAGGAAGGTGCTCAATCTCATGGAATACCGAGACTGTGGTTCCTAAATATGCCATCCCTTCACTTCCTCCCTGTATTATCTACCGTCTTCAAATAGCATATATTTTATCAAATATGCTGATGACCTGATGGTCTCCACATTTGCCTGCTGTTCATCACACTATTCTCAACTGAATGATTTCCTGCGTACTGTCAGACGATGATACTTTGTGAATGATCTTCTGCTTATTCTTTCAAAGTGTCACATCGTAAACTTTGGTTTCAGACGCGGACATAACCCATGTCAACTGCTTAAGTCTCATGATTTGTGTTCGATTGATGGCTGTGCACTAGAGGGTGTCATGTGTGTTAGTTATCTCGCCGTGTTTTTCTTCCAATCTTTCTTCATTCATCCACATCTCAGTAATTTCCAAAAGGATCTTACACCTCGCCTTCAATATTAGAGAGCCGAGGGAATCTAGTATAACTCAGACTCCTCTTTCGTATTTTGTACACTCCTGCATTTGTCTGTTCCCCTCCATCTTTCCGTATTATTGCTGGGTTGGGTTGCTGAAAAATGACTATACTGTATTGTATAGGACTCTAAAGGTTTTCAGGAGAACGAATTGAAACTGTAATGGACAAGTATCTAAACTCATGTGGGCATCTGGTAGGATTGATTACATCAGATGACCAGCATCCACTTCACTCAAATCTCTCTATTTGTTGGCCGTCAGGCAAGTCCAGCATCAAGTGTATCAGACTTTATGCATGCACTACAAGATGTAAAACCCTACCACACCTTATTTAGCCTGTAACCTGTGCGAGGAGGAAAGTGTTAGTAAAGAACTCACCAACCAACTTTTGTTCTTATAGGCAAACTTATTGAAGATTACACAGCATATTGTTATTTATGTAACATGAACCATGTTGCTAATACGAATGTTTACCGACGTTAACTCTACATTTTCGAGGAGGTTGTGGATGGAGTAAATATTCTTATCTTATATGTGTAATCTCTAGCTGTTTCGTTTTATTGTGTATCCACATACACTGTTTCGGTCTAAATGATGTTGTATGACATACAGAAAACGTTGTGAAGTTTTCTCGAAATACCTCTCAGAATGAAGCCACCGTTATCGTTATTATTTCTACGAAAGCCATATGGAATATATGCTTCAGTGAACACTATCCCAGTATCTTCTTTTCATTCAGGTGGATGTGATGGTGCTGCTCATAAAAATTACGTTTGCTTCACGAGAGGCGTTAATAAATGACACAATCTGCCTTCCAAGCTGAAACATATCTCTATGTAGATACGAAAATTCGTTGCATTTCAGAGTCATAATTGACCTTGAAAATAACAGATATTTTCCATCAATCATGTGTTTGCTAATTCACCTAAATATGTTGCAGTACACTGAAGCTAGAAAACCTAACATCGAGAAATAGTGAATAATTATTCACTCACCCTTCTGCAGACTTTCGAGTAAAATTTCTCTCTGCATGATATTCTTACATCTGCTTGGATATTATGGATACTGTTATTTGATGGAAACTCGACTAAGTGTCACTTATCCAGTAAATCGTGCTTCTATACTCATTGTCTTCAGATTTTATCTTCAACAGTGAATTGGTTATGCATGATGTATAGTAGGCAACTGTCCATTCATGATGGTCACACTGGATGTTGAGTCAGGTTTTCTTGTTTCATTCCTATCGGGGCTGAATTAACGACACTCTGTGTAATGTTGATTAAATGTCGGTCACCGTTAATCCTAGAGATGTTCGTCGTAACTCTGCAGCCCCAGAAATAACCTTCTCTTGTGTTAGGCAATTTATGCTGTGTATTAATTCCAGTTAAAACAGACACACCGTAGCACAGGGATATGGAGTTGGTAGGTATGCACAGAACAACATATGTGTCCTGAATTCCAATACTGGTCAGTATCACAAAAGAAGAGAATTACGCGAAAGCAGATGAAGAGGAAGGAAGCTGTTCAACTGATATGTCAGTGATAACGAAAACATTTGGTATCTGTAGGTGATTTAGTGTGTAAAACTGAGATTGGAACTGATAATGAAAAAACCAACTTGTAAATTTTTTCTTCCTTCCCTAGTTCAGGATATGAAAGTGATGGAAACGTTGTGTGATGTAAATGAATTTTCTATGCAAGCGAACACTTGCCATGATAGATGGATAAATAGGTAATAGCATATTCATGACTGTAAAAATGAACTGATTTTCAAAAGTGATATTTACCGAGCACTTTTAAGTGACCTTTATCTGATTGTTTCATACTATATAGTGAAGGGAATGATATCTCGAGAAGTATACAGCTTAATGCAGGATTGAGTTCAAATGTCTACAACATAGGCAATAAATTTGATATTTTTGAGAAATAATTAAGGGTATTTTTTGAACGACTTACTTTGGAGATGAGTGTTCTTGAGAGATATGATTAGCGTGGTCGTCAGGTGCAGATCCACGGACTCATCGGTATTCTAAGTAACCTTTTGGTAGACAGTTGAATGCAATTGGCAGGAAGCCTTAGATGTTTCATGATAATTGACATTCATCATCCAGACAATTCTGCTATATCAAGAAAATTGACAACGCTTTATAAACTCAAACCCCTGATCGCTTCTCAATGATCAAATGAGCAGTTTCACCACTGAGGTATTTGTTTCAGATACATAGATTAGTCACTGAAGGGTAACAAATTACGTGTTTTCCGGTCTCGAGTGTTGATCAATTTCTGTGGATCATTTCACATCCTGACCATCTAGTCAACAGACACCTCTCACGGCGCACTTTGGTAGATAGTTGGGTGCAAAGTATAACCAGTTTATATTTCGTGACCTAATTTTACCAGTTGTACAGCCAATTTTTTTTCTGTGATCAAATAAACACTTTCACTCTAATAATCTTATCAGCATTGCAGGTGAAAGAACTATTTCAACCGATTAGGTGACAGGATGCGAAACGAGTATGGAAATGCAAGATGAGCATTCACTCAGATATGGTATTTCCTATGGTTGCAACAATGAGCGATACGTATTTAAGCTGTGAAACCAGTTGTAAATCTGGCGTTGTGGAGAAGATCTAATTCTGGTGAATACCTTAGTTCTCGAAATATCGTTATTTGTGTCATTATTTTGATAGTGAAATTATTGATTTTCAAAAAATGGAGGATTTTTATTGTGTAGTTAACATCGATTGGTAAACAGCCGGAAGTCAGAAGACGCTGAAAATTATTTCGTTCACATTTTTCATGACTTCTTTGTATAGCGCACAACGCGCGTAGCAATGAATTCGCCTATTATGCATACGAGATATTTTACTTCTTATTTTGTGTCGGATTATCGAGTTTTTTTAAGTTCCTATCGATTTTCTGCATAGCGCAAGCATTGTTTTCTGTTATCGAGAGTCATAGCCATTTTTTGAAAACTATATGCTGTACGCTTATTTGTAGAATTAGGCGTCATTGATGTTTTGGTGCAAATGCCTCGCAATAAACGTATCTGATGATATCTGGAGTAGACGAACAAATTAGTGAATGACTGGTCGATGTAATCACTTTAGTTGTCATTCTCTGTGAGTGATCTGTTTCGCATCATTTCCTTTCATGTGACTGTTAATTTTCTACGAGTCTGCTGTTATCTGATATCAGACTTGCAAGTCATTCAAAAATATCAATCTTTTTCTAGCTTTAATACATCAAGTAACCTCGTAGATGAAGAAAGTCATCCATTGCATAGCGCTCATTAAATCATACTCCTTGTTCTCTTTGACTTAACACACTGCCTACAAAAAATTATATAATTGAAACCACGTGAAAGTTAGTTGGTTGGAGGAAATCAGCAAGAAGTCATGGATCTAGGTTTTATGCTTGTTGGCAGTCGTCAGCAAGGCTTATATGCAACGTCGACGGAACTGATGTCCCGCTTGAGATTCGAACTCCTGCCACTCAGTGTTGCGGTCAGCGACTTTATCATTGAGCTTTTCGGGCCGCAACTGACGTCCGTAGGGCCGAGTTACATGTATATAATCGACCGCGGGAGAGCAAGTAGTTTCATATTGTTTAGTTCCTAGTGCAGACAGAATCCTATCGATCGGATTTGCATGTTTGAATTTACTGATGAGTGTCAGCAGGCATGAAATCAGGTCTTCCTTTCGAATTACCTCCAACCAACTAACATCTATTAATGTGCACCACGATGCTGAGCCTTCTAGCTTGATGGCCACATTGCAGATATGATAGATAGGATTTAGTCTGCACTCATGATTAGATAATATGAAATCGGTTACTCTCCTGTGACTAATCAATACATGTAAACCACATATAAATTTAATTATTTTATCAACAATGAGCAGAAATACTCTAATATATAACAAGATGACAATAATAAGATTTTTGTATATCTTTTTATGAATGAGTTTACTTCAAGAAAAATATTTAGAAAAGACATTTGGAATTAACAATAATTTGATTTTGAGTTTCTGTCATGAATGAATACACACCTACTGGTGTACCTTTAAGTATGTGTATGTACCGCTTAACAATGCATTATGATATGGTTTGGCGTCAATAGACGGAGTCAACACAGTCAACAGGACAGATGACATGACGTTTAATGACAACATATGTGTAACATTCAGGTGTATGCTAGACGTCAACTTATTATTATTATTATTGTAGACTAATTAATACATACTGAATTTTGAAGTTTGATAGATAAGTGTAATTATTTGTTATACACATCTGGAGGTAGTCAGCATCATTTTGTTTATTAAAAATGAAATAGAATTTCATATAACAATATAATCATTGATTATGCATAAATCTATGTACTTATAAATGTATATTTACTCTGTACACAATGAATTATTTATCTTGTTGATTTATCTAAACAGTAGGAAATATTTGTTTCAATGTTCATTAGATAGATTTCAGTTAAATCTTGTTTAATTGCATGGTAGATAAACAAATCATATTTGAATTGTTGATTATTGAAGATCTGACTTTGAATATCTCTGAATTTTATGAACTACTCAAATAGTTTTAATAACTAAAATCTTTTAATCTTTATAAAGTTGAAAGATTGTTCCATTAATTTTTTCGATTCAATGGAGGTGAAATTGATAAACCTTTTAATGACCTATTAGATAGAAAAAAAGAAACTAAATTAATGACATGTGTTTTTGCATAATTGAATGAAAACTCCTAATGAAATGAAGAGTATTGATAATAGGTCATTAGTCAAGTTGATTAATTTTCATTTAAATATGATTTTAATGCAGAGAAATAAATTTTTATTAAACAATTATCATACTATTTATAATGAACAAATATTTAAGTTGTTAGGGAAAAAAAGCATGAACTTCAACACATCTAAATGAAATATACAAATAAACTTCGATAATGAAACGATTAATTAACAAGATTTCTATCACTATGTATTTTCATCCTCAAAGTTAATCAGGTTGAATCAAACTACAAAAATCTGTAAAAAGCAAGGACAAATATTGGAATTGATTAATATGGATTTATTTCATTATTTCGATGGCTGTCGTCAGCTGCTTACAATCTTGCCTATTTACACTGACATATAACAAATAAGATATTGACCTAATTTAGTTCAATGAATTCAATCGAAATGCAATAACGACGTTGCGAAATAACCAAACTGTCTTTATTGAAATAAAGTCAAAATGTCATGTAATGATTTCATTAAAATGCATCTTATCAGGACGAAGGTTTGCATAAAAATTAGATGGAACATAGGAAATACTGAATACTGTGTGATTTAGAACAAGAGATTACGCAAGTCAGTGGACAAAAACAAAATGTAACAGAACATTTAAACAGCGTAATGAGAAGACGAAGATTATCTGAAATATGTTATGAATGTTTTAGCGTTATACATTTCGAACAGTCTGATCACATATGGACTTGTCGAACTATTTATATAAAAATTTACAAAAAGGGTCATTGAAGTTAATAAGAATAGGAAGGGCAGAGGAAAAAATCTTAATCATATTACTCCTGGTATGAAAGGAAGGAAGGAAGGAAGGCTCAACATGAGTACAAATTGTTTTTGTATACATAAGGTGGGTTTGAATTTTCGGATGGCAAGAGCTTCAATAAATTTAAGAACCACTTTTATGTAGTACTTTAAAGGCTGTTTTCATGTCTATCCTGTGGTTATTTTCCAGTATATGTTTAGTGATAAACTAGGATGTATGTTTGTCACTTGTACTTATCAGATCTATTGAGGTCATTTGTTCTTGAAGCCACTTAGGTACTGCATATCACGATTACTCCTGCCTACGTATGTGTCCACATATACATGTAAATTGATAAACATAGTGGGATATGATGCAGTCGTTTATGTGTTGATTTGGTTTGTACTGTAACATGGACTTTCTCTTCTCTACAATGATGATCTTCACTGCATAGTATGCCTAACAGATGACCAATCTAAGTCTTTTTCTCAAAACAAAGCTGTGTAAATCACCTCTAAATGGTAATGAAATGTAGACATTTGTTTTAGCAACGAAATACTCTGTGCTTTTCAATAGTATATAACTTTTACAACTGTCGATAAACTGTAACGGGCAGCTATTTTGTGTCAGTGTTGTCGTCAGTAAGTTGGCTTCTTCCTCCTTGATGAGTAGGACTCACTCGATTAGGATTAAAAATCTAATGATAAGATAATGGTGTCATCAAATAAGTGGAAGATTAAGAAATTAGGTTATCAGGGTAGTTGAAGACTTATGATAGATCCCTTCTGAACACATAAATCTGGTTTTAGGTGTTTGCTTCCAGTAGCCTTAACAGAGTGAACAAAAATTGAATTACTCTTTCTGTTGGTTACTTTGAATGATTTTTGGGTATCTTCTTGACGTCTTGGATATAATAAGCGATTAGCAGTTGCTTTATTGAAGACACTTGCTCCTCTCAATCGTATAATATTCAAAAAAGATTCAAAATATCAAAGATAGGCCGTTCTGTCTGTTATTTCAGGGAGAGATACACTTGAATTGTTACACATAGTTGAAACTTTTGATTGTACCAGCAAGCAAAAAGTATGGTAGAGGGTTTTTAGTTTTCTGCAGGATAGCTCCTGAGTGGTGCATAGTCTTTTTTAACCATCACTTCTGTTTTATCACCTTAAAGTTAAGGCGAATGGAGCTAAACGTTTTACTGACTGTTATTTTCTCAACTTGACTGCATTATCTTTCACTAAATATTTGTTGATGAGGTCTTGTGAGTATCCGTTCTCATTAAGATACTTCTCAGGTTACTTTATGCACCCTTGCTACGGATAAATCTTTGAAGTGTACCATCAGTTCCACTACTAAAGAGTCGAAAGTTAAAATTACCGTTACCCTCATGTTCTGCTATGAATTTAATGTTTTTGTGTAAACCAGTGAAGATTCCAAGGAGACAGAATGAGCTATGTAAATTCTGAATGAACTTATCGACGATGTATTTATAGTAGGGTGTTATTTCATAAGTTGCACACTTGAGTTTCTGCGAAGGAAGAATGACCATGAAAATATCCTTCAATACAAAGCCTATCCAATGCATCACATTCAACTTATCGATACAGGATAGTGTTAAACTGGGACTGGATATCTTTCATTTATACTGCAAGAAGCTTCCTGAACTCAGCTGTCGGTAGAGAGATCGGTGTTGTGACAGATAATGTCTTTACTTCTAATAAGAGAGACCTGAACGAGTAAGGAAGTCATATCAAAGGAAACCATAAACTCATCGGAAACACTATGTTGATTTACTGTCTCGACAAACTTGTGAATTTAACCAACTGTTGACTAATAGGTCCCATTTTTGAGCTAACCAATGTGTAACTTTGTGGTGGGGTGAGACTGTTATTTGCTAAGATATAAAACAGTAAACATCTCAAGCAATATCGCCCATTTTCACTACTGTTTGATGAAATATGATTTGGATGTCAAATATACGACAGGTTTTAGGTGTCATAATGGAACAAATTTGACATTGGTTGTTAACCAGTGCAATATAATATAACCTACTGTTCATGGTATTTACGTGATCATGAAGCAGTCTTCTTTAATGGGACTGACATCAGAAGTTGTTAAGGACTCTTCATGTTTAGATAAGACATCACAGTTTTCTTGATTTGGAAAGATTATTCAACTAACTTTAGTTTTAAGTGACAGCTGTTCTTGAGTTTACTACATTTGAAATATAGAATGTTTAATACTGAATAAAATACTTTCCATAGAAGTAGTGTTTTGAAGGTTTGTATACACTAATGTAACAGAATTGTTTTGAGCATTTCAACAAAGTTCTTCTTCAACTAATAGCCCTAATCACTGAAAAAAGCTTAGACTTACAACTCTATTATACCTTAAGCAACATATACAAGTCAATTTATGCCACTGCATTCCATAGATGTGAATATTTAAAGTATGAAAATATCATACGCATAGTCATATATTTTATGTAAATTATTCCGATAATTTCTTGAATACAATTTAAGATAGTAGTGAATTTCAACAGCATTTTTGTCATTATTCTCTTATATTTACGTCTAACATTAATGGTTATAACCTAAACCTCCTTACTAACTTAAAAATCTTGAAAGTTGGACAAGTATTTCAGCGAAGAATCCCTTTTGGGGATTTCATTTTCAAAGCTGTACAATTGCAGATTTATAAATTTATAAATTTATACATTTTCCCAAGAACCTCCTCGTTCAAAGTCATCTATCCATAAAGTGAAAAGAAACCCTCCAGTGACTGTATGTCTTCGTATTCTCCGCATCACCGAAACTTGCCATCCATACACATAAACCTGAACTATGTATGTTTGTTCAACCCCTTCTCCTTTGATAGTCTTAATTTTCAATTTCCATTAGCCCATTTTTTTCTCTTCATTTTTCTATTTTGACACTATCCACTTCTTAAATAATTTGCTATCTATTCTTTTTCCTATGCTCTGCCTGGTCGCAATTCAGTTTCCAACTATGTCGTCATGTTACGAAATTTCTTGTCCAGACTTATTTTAATTAATTTTTTTGGTCTCATAGTTCATTTACTGACACCATTTGTGATACCATGCTTGACAAGTCGTTTTTAATCATCAAACCCTTACACTAGTAAAATGTATAAATCTGCGATTGTACAACTTTGAAAATGAAGTTACTAAAAAGAGACACTTCGTTGAAGTATACTTGTTCTTCTTCCACATCCTAATAGGTATATTTTACACATTTAAATCTCGAACATTCAAAATATATCTAACTATTACTGCATTTATGAGGGAATAAAACAGTTGAAGGCAAATATTAACTGAGATTCTCTTTTTTGGTAACTTTTTACCAACTGACAAGTGATTACTGTTTAAATGTATAACGTGTTAAAATGTTACGTATCGTCTGTCAAAATATTTACATATTCTGGTGAGCTTTTTTTAAAAATTTTGTTTGTCCTTTGGGTTCCTAGGGGAACATAGGGTTTAAGTAGCACGTCACCATTTCACCCTCTACTTTTCAGTCTTATCAACGTGGCTCCACGACTGCCCACATGCTTTCATTTCCTCATCATACCATCTCCATGTCACCCTTCGACGCCCAACTCGTCGTTTCCCAGTTGTGTTCCACTCTAGGGGCTGGCGCGTGAAAGTCTTATGAACACTAAATAGTGTTGTGAATCATGGAAATGTAATAAATAGATGATTAGAAATTGAAAACACTCACCTTTTACCATGTAACTCAGCATTTGTGTTTGGAGGATTTCCTGTGATATGGAGTTTACTGAACATTCTATCAGGTAAATCGTAAAGATTTTGCGCCGTCACCTCCATAGGTAGACTTGCGCATGGTGCATGGAGTATCGGTGATAGTGGTGGAGAGAATTGTGTTTGTCTAGTCATTTCATAGGGAAATTCTGTTTGATGAGACAAACGATCAAAAAGTAATAAACTTGGTGGGGAAAATATAGGTGTTACAATTTGTTTCTCCATTGTTGGAGTAGTGGGTAAGTCTATACTTGGTGGATCTTCAGTAGATACAGTAGTTGTAGTTGTAGCGTTGCTTTGCTCTGGTATACTTAACTTAGTAATATTTGGGTCAAGACTATGTCTGTTTCTCATTATGTATTCTGGTGTTTTGCTATGTGGCAGCAAGACATCACTGAATGGTACAGTAGTAGTTATGGTTAACTCCCATTCATCAAATGGGGAATCTGTATTTCTGTAGGAGTTGTCTTCTATTTGATTTTCTGGATTATCTTTGTCCGATATTTCCACGACTATCTCACTGTTCGTTAATGCATTGTTGATCTCGTGATAAGAACTTGGTTTTGTGTCATCTAAGTTCGTAGTCGCCTCATCTAAATTACCACATAATTGAAGTTGCTTTTCTGATTGTTTTTGTTGATTTACTGATTGTGACTCATTTGTCATAGACTCTGTTAACTTTCTCAATGATGAATCTGACCTACTTTCACTACGAATAGGATTGTTTATGTCTGCATGTCTGTCTGATTCAGAAACATCAGATAAATCTTGTAATTTCTTCTCAGTACCTATTATATCACACTGTAAACTAGCAGTAAGGCTCTCCTCAGCCAGAGAGGTTTGACTGGTCAGTTTATGTTTTTGATTGATTAATTTACTGTGTTTATTTGTATGTTGATCCACATCGATGCCGTAAAGCTTATGCTTTAACTTTTCTTGAAATGCTTGTTGACTATTTCGGAGTTTTTCAATCCATCTTTGCTAGAAAAATAGTACATAGAATAATAAAGAAATTAGCTTTACTAGTGATTGAAGTAATTTGTATAGGTATGCTTAACTGTCATTAGCGGTATTACAGAATTATTTGTAACCGTGATGGTGAGATGTAATACCAATCTTGATCGAACTAAAGACATGCAGATTGTTAGGTTAATACAGTGAAATTCAGTCTAGGAAACAGAGTTTGTCATCAAATTTATTACTACCATTACTAGAAGTCTTTGCCACACCCATCCATTCCATATTTTCATGACCTAGTGACTGGTTAGGTACTACGGCTCGGATTACTATCCTTTTGAACTATTGGTTTCAGGTTGGTATTAATCGTGAGATGACAGCAGTTGGAGGACCTTAGGAAATATGAAAGCTTCGGACAACTGTTTCGTCCTAGTGTAAGACTCCAAAGTTGTATGCACCCATGACCCTGACGTCAATGACCTTCAGGTTCCGCTGCCATTATGTTATATTATTAGGCCAAAGGGTTAGATTTCAACGGTTCTTCCAATGTCGTCGTTGTGTAACTGTTCCGATGTCCGAATCGGTTGGGCCCAGGGGTCTTGAGTTTTTATTGGAAATCCGGGAATCACTACTCTAAGAGCACCAAATAACTTCAGTTTGATGGTTTGTAGGGAATCATTTATTGAGTTAAAGTTCGTGCTCATCATGGCCGTGGAACCTGAATGTCCTGCCGAGGCCATAGGTGCGAAGTACTGAGTCCCATACTAGGATGAGACTGCTGGCTTCTGCTTCAAGGTTTCTAGTTTCTCCAACCAATGTCAGTTCAAGATGAATAATTGGCTGAAATCAATAATTAAGTCAGTACAAACCTCCAAACCTTTTTGAATTGATTTGAAGAAAAATAGTACTATCTAGATGCCGTTAAACCACGTTCATTTTTCCCAACTCTCTAATGAAATATAAGGTAGCAATATTCTCACAATCAAACTGTTCTACCAAGTAAACGTTAGCTTGTAGCATAAGGAAATAAACAAGCCATGATCACTTTATTAATCCCATATGAAAGATCTCTCTGAAACCCAAGGCTCATTCCTTGTGCTAGATTACAATGAAGTACAAACGACAAGATCAAACTGTCTTCTTATCTTGAAATCCTTTCTAAAAATCACGGTACTTTCCTCGAGTTAATTTGCGTTGACTTTGAGTTACGCCTGTAAGTAGTGCAGAGTATCATGGGATGAGGTTGATACACACAGACGTTTTATATGTTTCTTCTTTTATACTTGTGTGGAAAAAACGCTATGAATTTATCTACATTTATCTACTATGAATATAGTTCAACTGAACTTTGGTGACAGCGAATCAGGTTCAGATTTGCGCTGACCAATCAGAATCAAGAATATAAAGGACAAAGTTGTTAAGGGGAATTGTACTTTATTTACAACTTATTAATCTCTTTTACCTGAGAAATAAAGAGATTAGGATTTCAACTAAGTGTGTCATCTATGAAGCCAGACCCTTGTGTGCATTGCCACTAGTCCAAATTAGATACTATAATTGAAATATTTAAGAAATTTCGTATCGTGATCCCGTTAAAGATTTGAAGAACTTTCCAAGACGACTGCATAATTTTCCAAGTTGTTTGTGTATACTCCAGTTGTCTGATCAACAAATCGCTTTTTGTGAACAATAGCTTGGCGGGGCTAATCTATCTCAGATAAAGGCATATATGACTTTTACGTGGTTGTTTGTGTTATGAAACCCAATGGAAAGTAGTTTTGCATAACTGTTAGGAGAAATGTTTCTGATCCTTCCTTTATCCACTGAAAATGTCGTTTCTTCATATTTTGGTTGTATATATCAAGCCTGTGTCATTTGCTGAGGCATACAGATGTATATATACGTTAGGTAAGTTATAACCTATTCAGTCTTGTTTAAGTCACCTTTCTAGGTAATATTCAAGTTTCCGAACAAGTCATCCATCTGTTTCAACTAGATTACCTTCTTCAACAAGCTCCACATACAGTCCTCAACATAATCTTCGTCATAATTCATCAAAGCTTTTATGAGGTGTCAGTAATACGGTAAATGGATGTACCGAATAGCTTTAATAAATCATCTTCAACCTGATTGGTTGTCTTTAAGGTTTTCCACCACTGAAGTTTAGTTGAACAATAATGGTGCTCCATAGAGATGAATTAAAGGCAACGTAATGAATACGCAGATATTGATGTATTCAACTGTATCATAGGCTTATAGCACCATGATTATTCTGTTTGAACTTGTTATTAAAAGTTAAATAGGTAGGACATTTATCATCACATCTAAAGCCTTAGATTTGAGTTCATAAAATATCAAGTTCAGATATGAATGCATCATCTTACCACTTGTTTAAGGAGATGTTATCTACTTAAGCTTGAAATGCGACTACCTTCAGTGACCAATCAATGTATCCAGTTCAGTTTAGAATATCTCAATGGTAGTGTTAGTGACCACAACACTGAGTCACACGGGTTAGAATCTCACAGGTGACATCACTTCTCCCGAGGTCGAAGACATGCGTTCCTGAATAATGACAACAAACACGAAAGTTAGGTACATGGCTTCCTTTCGATTGGTTTCAGTAAATAAGGGTCCACTGTTATGAGCCTCCTACTAGCTTCCTAGCTTGATGGCCACACTGCAGTATGATCGACAGAATTCGATCAGCACTCATGACTAGAAAACATGAAATTGTTTGCTAACCAGTAACCAATCAGTGTTTCTTTCAACATTTTCACTATTCTGTACTAGTAGCCTTTATTTTGAAAATCTTGGAGATTGAAATAATTTGATGGGGTCATTGAGTCATGATTACTGCAATCACTTACCTTATCCAACTCATTGGCTGCCTGTAATGTGTAAACTCCTGTGATTTGTTGAAACCGCGTTATCAAGACAAGAACGATTGCATTCCTCAAACCATTAGCTGTTAATAAACGAGAAGGTAAGAAATACAACCTTCAAGTGAACACAATAAAAGACCTTAAAATTATCTATGTTAATTCTAGCGAACGTATCGACTCTATGTATATTTGTATAACCAATAAATATCTAAAATGTATTGTTCATTATCTGAGGTTTTTAAAAATTATCAAGACACATAAGTCTTTCTAGACAATTACGTTTTTTTGTGTTCAGCATTTTTATATCTCTGTGTATATGTTTGTACTAAGGATATAGGTTGTTTTGCTTTTGTTTCATATCCTTAAAATTCCCTCTCCAGACAATAATTCTCTCATGAATATATTACATCCAGACAGAAAAAAAATACCATTACTGAAAACAACAATGAAACTATACATATCTAATATTTTTACTGCAGAATATAGGAAGTTTGGCAACAAAATCAAAGCGTGAGAAGAAGTATGCTGTTGACACTCAAATGTATTGTATTGAATGAGATACCACATTCAGTATGTTTGATGATGCTGATAAAGAGGAAATAAAATTGAGTCTGTATAATTTTAGTGTTATTGCCTGTATTGTTTGACGAGTCCCGAATAGGACGAAATGCGAATCCTGGATTCCACTGCTAGCCACTATCCATCATTGCTGTATAATTTCAGTTTAGAATATATTCTTATATAGTTTTAAACGGGACTTAAAAATTATCCATTTTTAGTGGACAGTGAATGAATAGTTACCTATCACATATTTATAGGACATCTGAGTAAAATAAAGTCAAGCGGTGATAATCACTTGCATCTTGCAGTTCATTTGACTAAGCATGGGAAAAGTAACTCAGAGAGAGTTTGTTCAACCCACCCCCCTTCAGTCAATCTAGGTTTCAAGCCTATCCCCCGTGTTCATCTCGTAGCACAAATTATGAATATATATTTGAATGTGACATAGTCTAGATGACTACTTAATAAATGTATATTAGGAACAACCAGGACATATTTCTTTATTAGGTCCTTTAATACTAATCTGTTCAGCTGAATGATAATCAGTTTTAATTTTCTAATACTGAACTGGAGAGATAAGCAATCCTCTGTGTTACAAATGGTGTTATGCTTAATTCTCACTATGGATCAATAAAAATCACATACAAATACTGTGCAAACATTTTTCATCTATGAAAAATATGTATCATCATGTGGTATTTGCATGATATCACTGGTTCCACTGAAAGCCAACAAAATATCTTTTCTGTTAACATCGAATTCCGTGTGAAAACAAGTTAGAAATTATCAGTTCTAAGTATTAAGAAGTATGTTAATAAGAATCCGCTTTAATACATAATCAGAGCGGTGTGGCTTAATAGTCAAATTACTTACTTTGAAGATGAATTTTAGTCATTACTATGCTTTAAGGACTATACAGATTCACAAAATACTCACTGGTGACTGACTAGTTTATCTAATCCAGTCCATTGTTTCCGGTAGAATAATGTACAGTCTGAAAATTTAACGGTGAATGAAACAGATTTGAATCTTCAAGGAAATACTAATTTCTTTATGTTGAAAGATCTTTCCTGTCATTTATGAGTGCCAAAAAGAACAAATCTTGAATATGGCAGGCCTTCCAGCATATTTATTTTCAAAAGTTAACGTTAAAGTTGAAGGAGGAATAAAATGAACTTTGAAAGAAGTTTCAGACCATTTTCCTTATTGATCTGTGTTCTTAGGGCTGATGTGCAGACATAAACGTAACTCAGGTGCTTCACTATTGAAACTATTTTTACACTTTCTTTGTTAATAAATACATTAAAATGAAAGCCATTTTAATATCTGTCACTATGTATGTTTATGCGATTTTTACATAAGGTATCATACCGTTTCCTAAACTGAACGACAAAAGGTAACAGGATTTTTGAAGTTTGACTTTCAACAGGGAGGAAAGTTAAAACACACGAACCGAATTCATGAAATAAGCCTAGGTTATCAAATGTAAGAATGAAGTGAAACTGTGAAATGAATCAGTCAGTAAAAAAAGCCAAGAATGTGTAGTAATTATTCACGAATTGGTACGGAATTATGTTTTCTTGATTGGTGCTAGGATCAAAACCAGTGCCTAAACAAGGAATGCATGTTTGAAATGAAATGTTTCGCGTAAGCTTTATGATTTGGAAGAGATTTTAGTGAAACACGCTACTAAGTTTTCACCTAGCTTACAGATTTTAAGAACCAGATGATGGCTTCATGAACTACTTTTGCTATGATTATATCAGTATGCGTAAAACGTGGGCACTGTGGTGGAATATAATTCGATATTAAATCTGTTTATCTGATATACCACTCTGTGACAAAGTATTATATATTTGATGATGCTCCGAGCATAGATTACTACTCGTAATCGTATCAATGTGATCACACTACTTTCGACGTCTGATTGTTATAATCTTATCACTTCATATTCTTTGTTTATATTGGTAGTGAAATTTTCTACATCTCTGGTATAGGTGTTGCATCATTCTTATTACATGTATTGCATGCTGATTCGATAAATAGAGTTTCAGTAATCAATCCCTCTTTTCATCTAACTATATGAGACTTAAGTATAGTGGTTTAATTGTACCCTATTTTTTGGTTGTGTGAATGCATGCATTGCAGTGGCCGAGTATTTTTTCTAGATTACTGATCCTGTTGAGGTCTGTCATTCTAATGTTACGATAATCTTACTGACCTTGGCTGACTAGTTTGACCTATGTAGCTGACCTTCCGGTCACTGAATGGAATTTGGTAGATTAGATTATGTTACTTAATTGGATCTATGGGGTAATTAGACCAAAAACGCTTATGTCTGAGCAAGTTTGTAGATTTAAATGCTACTCTTATTCCAGCCTTGTTGAGAATTTAACATGAAGCTTCTCATGTTTCTTACTTATGTAGTAACACAACAGATGGTTAGATGCCCTTTCTTATCGTGTTGTCGTTATTGTTCGTACTCATGTTACTGTTATCATTTCATTTTTTATAGGGTTCATATGAATTATTGTCATCGGTTTATTTGACTATATTTGTTGTAGAAAATAACAGTACTACAAGACAACTTGGTTTCAAAACGAATTTGAATACAGACGATTTATTTACTTGAATTAGTAAAACATTTTCCAATAAAAATACTTTGAAAACACTTTTCTCCAAAATTATCCTTATCAAGTACATGTAATCGAATAACAAAAGAAACCTAACTAATCTGTTTTATACAAACGGTAAAATTGATTTTCACAAAATGACACTGATCAATCGCATACACTGACTTTGATAAGAGAATGTTAATCAGTAACTTCTATTGATTCGTTTAGAGAGCAATGTTATTTGTTTCTTACGAAACAGTGTCACCTAGATGCTTTTATGATTGCGTCCTAAGAAATGAAATGAAGTTGGTGTTGTTCTACTCCATATTGGAAAGTCTAGGCAAAATAACATGTAGCTGCATTCTTAAAGTACACTAATGCGGGAGTATTTCAGGTTCACAGGATTCAAGCTTGAGGGATAATAGCATCTGGCTGCTTCTCATCAATGAGCTTTTCCATTATCCATAAAAATTAAACTGGCCTAATTTTCAAAATGCAGACCAATATCCTTTCTAGAATATCTAATGAAAACTAGTATTTTACTTATACTTGTAATAGCAAATTTCATTTCTAATATTTACTGGACGTTTAGTGTCACTTCAGTGTTCAACTACAAAGTTCTTTATTGTTCTAATCTGTCCATTATTCAACGATGATTGGTGGTGCTGAGGAATTCGATGGTTGACTTATCTCAGTGTTCGCCCAACATAACCAGCTCCACAGTAGCAGGTGAACTGATAAATGCACTTGCAGGTGGCAAGATTAGGCAATTTGTACCTAGAATCGTGTGGTTGTAGAAGATGGGACATAATTTTGTGGCCGGAAGTACTCTTTGCAAGGCTCTACGTGATTCTAGGTGTAAGAAATAAGGACAGACAGCCCAATTCTGCTACCTACATGTGCATTTATCAGTTCAAGTGCTCCTGTAGAGCTAGTTGTATGGGGCATGCAATGAGGCAGATGCATAGTTGGATTTCGGAACACAAATCATGCTTGAATGATCGACAGATCAGCGCAATAAATAAGTCACTTCTTTTGGATAGTTTCATTCACTATACAAGCCGATGATCGAGTTTATAAACGTCTCTACCCTTATTAACAAATCGGTCTGACTTCATTTCTGCTCAGTATATTGAATCAATATAGTCAGTCGGTTAACTTAAAGGTCAAAACATTCAATTTGTTTGCCTAATGGAATGACAGAAGATAAATCTCACGGGATTTATTAGCGTTAATCTATTTGGGTGAATGCAATTAATGGCCTTTGAATGAAATTCTTTGTGTTTAATTTACTTTAGGATTAATCATTCGCTTTGATTGTTCTACTTCTTTCTCAATAGAATGTGCATCGGTTTTTTTGTCAACAATTATTGTATTAAGGTTAAATTCATGATCAGAAAGTAGTCAGCTTTGTTTTCCACTTTTCGGATGACTTGGTTTTTACAGATTTCCATAGAAATCAGGACTATAAGTTAATCGGATCTTGAAAATACCAGTATATGTATATACTTCATATTCATTATGTAAATGATTGTGTTCAATATTAACGCCTTTGATAATAACACTGAATGATGTGGGTTTTCCTAAGTTATGACCCAGATTTTCTCAAGTTTGGAGACATGTTTTGAAGATGACTGTTAGTAAATGGATTATTTAGGCCTGGAATCTCTTGCCAATTTCTTCCAAGCAGTTAACTGTTATATCATCCGGGATATTTCTGAGAAATTATTATATTTCAGATTATTATATCGAAAATCAGTGAGAACCACTTTCTATTGTAGCAGTAAATGGCGACTTTTTATTTTCCTATAATCTACTGTACGAAGACGCTGATTAATGAACTTTCACAAAACTCTTTGACAGGGTGGTGTAGTTATTTTTAGGTTGCTTTACATAAGTGATAGAGACTTATAAATACTGAATGGATCATTGTGGAGAATAAGCATATGCATAACTATTATCCATTTAATAGAGTTATAAGTAATTATTCTTTGTTGGAATTCATCATGGACTGACATCAGTTGGAGGAACATTAAAGACCCGGGAGCACTTGAAGCTGTTTCATCCTTGTATGTGGCTCCTCAGCAGTGCGCCCTCCGTGACCCCGCCTGTTAGGGATTGAACCGGAAACATTCAGATTTCGTGGCCGGCACTTTACCATTGAGCAACTGGGTCGGAATTCAGTGGTCCGCATTTCCAACTTCTTTCAGTTCACAACAAAGTACAACTTACATCCAATGCCATCGTTGAGTAACTGTCCTCAGGTGGAATCAACCAAGTCGAATAAGATCCGGATTTTCAACACACGTCAGTGATCCTATGTGATGGTTCAGAGACTTGGCAAGTTACGAAAAGCATTTTAAACAAACTGCAGAAGTACATCAACAGCTTCGGCTTACGCTCAATCGATACTGAAAATCAGATGGACGACTAGAATAATAAGAATAAGCCTTCTACATTGTGAAGATTGAATTCATGTCCATAATTATCCATGTGCATAGAAATGACTGATGAAATGTCAGGACGTCTAATAGCCAATCGGTGTTTATGCAGACGGAGGCAAAGAGGGCGACCAACTTTTTCAGCGTAGTGTTGACCACAACTGCAGTTGATTTTGAAAAAAATGATATTCAGTTTATATTTCTTCAATGTTATTTCCTTTCGTCTGCACAGTGGTGGTTGGAGAAAATTGGTAGGTTGATGAGCAACACCAATTCCAACTGGTCTCAGTGGTCTGGTCGGGATTCCTGATATATTCTTTGTGTGGTAGGATGATGCGTTTGTTGATTTCACTGAGTGAATTTGTAGTTGATGATTTATAGGATAGGCATCTTATGATAAAGTTTCGTGGTTACCTGTTCTTCTTCAGGATAGACATCAAGTAATTTTCTTCATTTCTGCATAAAGTTTTTGTACTGCATTATGTTCTCGCTCTTGTGAATAGAGTCTGCATGTTACTAATCTAGTGAGTTGTTGGGTTGTTGGTTTTTCAGTTTTCCAGCATTTTTCCTACTGACTACAATATTTATGAATGGTAGTCGGATGTTTGACCCCTTCTCCATTGCGAATTTGATGTCATTGAAAAAATTGTTGATCAAACTGTATGTTTTCTGTATCATCTTTTCCAATGATGACAAAAGTATCGTCTACATAGTGAATCCAAATTTTGGCTAGATTACAAGTAGAATGATGACTTCCAGTCGCTGCATCACTGCTTCTGCAACTACTCCGGATATTGGTGACCTTGTTGGAGTTTCTCTCATCTGTTTGTATATCTTGCCATTGAATTGGAAGTATGTTCTCAGGCAAAGGTTGATGAGTTCCATCAGACTTCAGCATTTAGGTTTTGTTCATTCTGAGAGGTCCGTGTCTTCAATGAACAACCAAATACCATTCCTAGATGTTTAAGTTAGTAGGAAAAATGCTGGAAAACTGAAAACCCCAGTGTACAGGAAGCTAATACACACTGATCAAATCCACAACTACAATAGAAACAACCCAACAACTCACTAGATTAGTAACATGCAGACTCTATTCACAAGAGCGAGAACATAATGCAGTACAAAAACTTTATGCAGAAATGAAGAAAATTACTTGATGTCTATCCTGAAGAAGAACAGGTAACCACGAAACTTTATCATAAGATGCCTATCCTATAAATCATCAACTACAAATTCACTCAGTGAAATCAACAAACTCATCATCCTACCACATATAAAAAATATATCGGAAATCATGACAAAATTATAGGATTGATCAAAAAATTTTTCAGTGACATCGATTCCACAATGGAGTAGGTAGGAGTCGAACAATTTTTGATAAAGTTTATTCATGTCTTGTAGTTCAAGTTAGAAGTAAGTATATTGGGGGAATGGAATTTAGACGTTCATCGTTTAGGATTTATTGATAGTTATTCTTATTCTATGTATTCATCGATATCTCAAATGATCAGAATCAATCTCTGCTAGAATTATATGAGTGCGGATCTGCTTCGTTTTGTCATGTTTTACCAAAACGTCAGTCGGTAGTAATGTACGAATTTCATCTAAGATGACCTTTAGCTTGTTTTTAAAAAATTCAAATTTCTTTGTTTTGTAAGCAAATATAATTAAAAGGCAGTATAATTTACACTAATTTATTGAAAAGTTGTTACTTACCAGTAGCCTCAACAATCCCCAAATCATGTATAGTGAAACGATCAAGTGCTATTACTTGTCTATAAACAACAAATACTCCACCTTCAGTTATACTACGACCAGCCAATGGGTTTTCTGAAAATGACTTCTGAAATAGACGGTTAACAGTGAAATTTATTTTGGAGGGATTTTAAAGATTTTGAGTGATTCGTAGTTAAGCTTCGAATTTTTTGTCACCTTTATCAAAATCCACAAACATCTTAGTTCCAGTTCTCAACAAATGAAGACCGAAATTCTGCATGCTGTTAGTTCGCCTGTTATAGGGATCCATACATATAAGTGGAAACGTAGAATAATCTAGTGTCATCATTTGCTTTACGGTGAAGCATTCATGGGTCTTAACTGATGTGTGTTATACATTAAAAGGCAGTAGTATTTCACTCTGATATGCTGATTTGGTAAGTGATTTTTCGTTTAGCTTATGTTACTTGTGTTTACTTCCCAGTTTACAAAAAAATTCTACTGACTCTGATTCATTGATTCCTGCTGCTGGTAATCTTATCTAATTTATACTGTGTTCACTCCGCTGGTCAGGTTTTTTTATCTAACGTAATCTCTGTCGAATAGTGAGATTTGACGAATTACTTTTTGGCTGAAAAAAAAAACATACTGATGCACAAAGTCCAAGAGATAACAAATCCAATATTGAAGTTGCTTTCAATGCTCATTCAAGTTTTCAGATTGATAAAAGCAAGTTTAATAAAAAAGGCGGACTTATTAGGATTATTCACAGCTATGATCAGTATTCAACAAATTAATTTGGTCGATAAAAGGGCTTGAATCAGGTTTTATACTTATTGGATATGAATAACAAATCCTAACGGAAATATTGGGCGAAGTTGCCTTTACCCTGACAGTGGGCTCTAACCTATCACCAAATTCGACGAATTCACTGTTAAACAGTTTACGTTGAGTTAATTTAGGGTAAATGATCAGCTGATAACCGATGATCTGTACAAACACTCCAAGTCAACAAATTCGACTATTCTACGTTTGTAAAGATTGCCAAAAGTTCGTGAAACTGGTTTATCCTTTCTTTTGATTCTGGACATGTCCGAATTTCATTGTCATTTGATTGCGAAATGCCTAGCTTAAATCCTAGAGCCCGTAAGAAGATGAGCTGGTATCAACTGTCTACGTTATACTTTTGAATTTGCTGACTGCATTAAAGTCGTGTACCTATCTCACTTGATGTCAAGTCACTCTTCACCACCGTTCCACTTAACGGAACTGTCTCTTTCTTACATAAATACGTAGGAAATAACAAGTTGACTGCTGGGCTACCGACCCCCTGCCTTAAAAGATTGTAACTTAGGTTTACATCTATCGTTCGACCCCCAGGGCGAGACGGATCGATAAGAAGTGCCATAATCGAATTTGTTGTGAGCATGAGCCGCCCTATCTCAACAACTTTCTGATTCACATTCCTTTATAAATTGAAAAGAAACGGTCCAAAGGATGTATGTTTTCATATTCTCCTTGTCGCCGAAGCTCTTGTGGTCTATATGGAGAAACTCGAACTTTGTACGCAAAAGAATATTGGCAAACCTCTTCTCTTTTCATGGTTTTAATTCTCAGCCTTTGAAATCACCCTTCTTTTAACACTGTTTACTTTTTATGTAATTTTGCTATTCATTCTCTTTCTTATGCTTCCTTTGTTCATACTTCAGTTTTTTCAGGTCATGAAACTACTTATCTCAAATTATTAATCTTTACGCAACTCTAGTTGTATTATGATTAACTTAAACTATCCGTCACAGTTTTTGTTTCTAATTACAACTTATGCATTTTTGTCATATATTATGTTGCCATGTTTGACAAAAAGCTTCTAAATATCATACCCTAACACAAGGAGAAAGACGTAGAAATGAGGGATTGTACAGACTTGAGAATCGAATCACCAAAAAGTGACTCTTCCCTGAGATACTTGTTCTTCTTTCATGAGTTAGAGAAACTTTGTGAGTTAGACTGTCAAAGAAGAAAAGAAGTATCGTAGGAATCATTTGTCATCAGTACACATTCAAGTTATCTTTCGGAAACGTTTGGTATACAATCTAAAATTCTTCTAATTAATAACTGGCATCGTGAACTTGCGAATCATCCCCTTCGACAATAATACGTTTACCTAGGGCTAGATATTAGGTTATTAGATTCCATTTCAGCCTATCAGCATCAGGTCTTCATTTCCTAATATTATTCAGTGGAGCTTTTCACCGTGTTTAAATAATTTTTATTGTTCTGCTGTATAGTGGTGTAATTTACTGTACAATTTATTTGAAACAATGAATGATAAGAACAGAAGTACGGGAAATGAATCTTTTCAAACTGAAGTTAAGCCTTTATTAACAGTATTAGCGGTCATGAATAAAGGAATATGGATGTCTGTGGAATGAGTCAAAAGATGTATATATTAAACTGTTATACTTTTGTCGAAATTCAGATATCTCGGGAACAAATAAACACAGGTTAGCGGGATTTCAGACGAAACGACGTCAGGTGGAGAACCAGGAAAAACTTGAGAAGCCTGGACAGCTGTTTCGCACTAGTATAGTACTGCTTACATTTTTCGTTCTCTAAACTAGATAATTCTTTGTATGAGCTGCAAAGTTATTGCGAGGAACCAAACTGTGTTGATATCATCAACACTACCTTAAACATAAAATTCTCATTAAGCCAATTAGTAACATTTTAGGACGGATTTCCAGAAGTTTTAATGAGAAGCAGCAAACTATGGGGTCAACTAGTTGGAAGTGAAGTGGATACCATCTGAGGACGTTTTTGGACTTATTGTTATTTATATTATTTGTCCCTTGGATTCCTAGTGGAACATAGGGCTTCAGTAGCATATCTGCATTCTACTCTCTTCTCTTCAAACTTTTGAACGTCGCTCCACGACTGCTCACAAGTTCTCATTTCTTCCTCACACGATCTCCATGTCACCCTCACCTCGGACGCCCAACTAGCCGTTTCCCATCTGGGTTCCACTGGAATGTCTGGTGCGTGATGTCCCAAAATGGTCTTCCCAGTGCATGCCCAATCCATCTCCACTTCTTTCTGCATATTTGTTGAGCAATAGATTCTTGTTTGGTTCGTTGTTAGGCCAGAGTTCCTTGTTGCTTATTCTTTCTGGCCATACGAGCTTCAATATCGAGACGGCGTAGGCAGTTGTTGATGAATGTCTGTAGTTTGTTATAAATGCTTTTCGTAATGCACCAAGTATCTGAAGCATCATACAGAAGCACTGACTTGATGTTGGTATTGGAAATCCGGATCTTATTCACGCTTTATGCTAAGTGGAGTGCAGAAGATCTTCACACGGTTTCCGGGTCAATGAACACCTGTCTTGCTGTCTTTCCTATCCTGGCTGGCTTTGAAGTCCCTGTCCGTGCCGCCTGTAGTTGAAATAGTGCTGACTAGATAGGTGAAAGAGACTACTTCCTTTAAGTTTCTCCCGTTGATGGTGATTGCAGCTTGTTGTTGTTGGTGTTGTTGGTTGGGTATCTTCATCACCATCATCATCACCTTCATCTTCGTTTTTGGATAGTTATGCCAAATCACGAATAGACAGGAGTAGTAAATGGTGAACCACTGAACCCCTATGAAGTGGATGAATAGTTACCACGTTTGTTGTGAAACTTTGAGGTCTTCATTTCGATTCCTTGGAGCGCCGATACGGGTGGCTAGTGTCGAAGAGTCCCTTACTAGGACGAAATAATCGTCTTGTGTTACCAGGTTTTCAGTGGGATTTGTTAACTTTATTATTTCTGGAACTTGCTGACCTTTATAACTAAGGTTGCTTTTTTTCCTTGGAAAAAAAGAAATATCAGCAAAAATTTCAAGATAGTTTTTTTCATGTAAAACTGAAACTCAAGTGGAGTGCTTACCTTCTTTGGGGGTTTTTTAATTCTTGTAATTAAGAGAAAATCATCGAACAGAAATGCAAATATTTCAATTGTTTTAGTTCCATCTAAAGGAAATGAATGAAAACCAACCGATTTTACACTAGTAGAAGTCGCACACTTCAGGATTTATAAAATTATTGGTAAAAAATTTATGAAACATATAACATCTATGCATAAGGATGCTCATAAATAACCGTGGAAAATGATTATAATAGTCAAATTACTTTGCAGCAATGTTTAGTGCAAGCTGAAATTATTTGAACAATCAATAAAGACCTTAGAGCCCCCATCAGATGTTACTTAGTAGTTTGGAAGTATTCAACTATGCATACTCATTTCGTTATGAGAGATCGGGGTGGTGACTGTATAGTCTCGTAGAAAACCCATTTTTATCCAGCCATGAGGTTAAAATTCAATGACCCACATCTTCCTTCACTTTGAATTCCGCGATGTTGACTTCGTTATCCTGTTATTTATATTGCGGAACACTAGGAACATGAATGTGAAAGATAGCTTCGATTTTTTGGTGAGAACAGACACTCATCGACGGCACTAGATGTCAGTCGTACTATGTTGCTAGTTAATGGAAGCAGAAACATGTGTAACGCTTGATTTCAGCCAAGTGGCTGAATGGTGACGTATTTGCCCCTATACTTGGCGGTCCTTGACTGAAGCCGTACTGAGGATGCAGGCGCGCACCTCTGGGGAATCCTACGCTGAGAGGATACAGCTGTCCACTGCTGTGGCCTACCGGTTGATGTCATCCGTGATGAAACTACCTTAAAAGAAATCAGTCTTCACAAACCTCCGAAATGAATTACTTACTGCTTAGAACTCGTTAGCAACACGGTTTGAAGCTAGATTTTCCGAAGTTTTGATGAGAAGTTGAGACCTGTGAAATCAAGCAATTTGGATAATAGAACAAGTACTCGCCTATGACGTTGGATAGTATGCGCGCTATATTATGAATTTACAGAAGCAGGAAAGTGTGGAAGACTGGTTTCTGACGGAATGGCTGAATTGTGAGGTGGTACCCGCCAGTCCAGAATGTCTAGAGTTCGATCCGTGGCAAGGTAGTGGGAGTCCACTGTTATGGAGTTTTAGGTGAGGGGGAAACAGGTGTTAAGTGTTCCCAGATTTTTATTGTAACTTCGAATGATCTCAGTTTGCGATGGATTCTACCCTGAAATCACTCGACCCTCACAAACTTCCAGTTGTATTATTCCTAATTACTCTGCATATTATAAAAAACGTCATCTTAAACTTTTAGCAATCACCATATAGTTAAAATCTCATGGTTCATTGGCTTAAATGATTTATTGTCTGTTTTTCGTCGTCGTTCAGTGGTGTGCTCATTATGCTGATCATGAAATTCTAGTTTGTTTTTGGCCTTTTAAATGATTTTGAAGTCAAAACTGACAGCTGATGTTTCATATATATAAGTTGAAATGAAGTTTTTCTGAATTTTTAATAACTATCGCTTTCATTCAGCTTCAAAATATCTCCTGGGAAATGTGAATTCAGGTCTGTTGGAAGTGCTTAAGATTCGCTCAGCTGCCTCCAATCCCAGAAAGCTCTCCAGCTTTTTTTCAAATTTCACTTTCTAGCCGGAAGTAGGTATGTCATTTATTTAACTAGTTGACTGAATTATCCAATATTGAAGATGTTGATTATCTATATAGGTTGAAAGTATTTAAAAATGATAAAAGCATTTTGTTTTGGTCGAGGCAAGACTTCAAAGTATTTAGAAGTAGTGTTCATCATGGACTGACATCAGTTGGGGAACCACTGAAAATCTGGGAGCACTGGACAGCTGTTTCCTCCTAATATGGGACTTCTCAGTAGTACGTATCCACGACCGGGCTGGAGATCGAACTCAGGACCTTCAGGTTTCACTGATATCAGTCCAAGATGAATACTACTTCCAAATTAAAATCCCCATTCATCTCAAAAATACATTACTTCAAAGTATGTTTGCCTGCTAACAAAAATGTATTTTTTGTTTCTAGGTGTACACAGCGTGAAACTTAATCATAATGAATCGAAGATCACTAGTGAAGTCTTACTACGGTTGTTGTTTCATTATTATTTTTAGAACTAGGGTTAAGGAAGTAAGATTGTCCATAGTAATTCATTTGAGGAAACATGATGTACGACTAATTTTCACACCCATTTCACTCGTTTTTTCAAAGAAAACAAACCTGATAGACCGTTCATTGATAGTCCGGTGGGTTAGATTGACACAGTAAGTTGTGATGGAGGATGTTTGTAGCCCATATATGTAGTCCTAATTGTAATCTGTTCTCTGAGATAAGTTGTTTACTCATGGAAATTTCATCGTTTTTCTAGACGGCATCATCAGTAAGCTACTAAATCACTCACTTAGAGATATTGATAGTTCATATCATACTGAAGTTAGTGCTGATGTTGTCATCTAGAAAGTCGATGAAAAGTCCACGATTAAACAACCCAGTCCAAAGAACACAATACAATCAAGAAAGTGAATTGTTCTAATCAGAAACTAGCATTTAGTTACAGTTCATTCTGTTGACAAAGTTTAGTGTAAAATAAGTAATAATATCAGGGATATCGCAAAAGGGGGGAAGCGTTTGTGGTCGTTTATATACGTTAGACGCTTTTAGAACGTAATGAAAATAGGTAAAGTTGTTTATCGTAATTACCGTTCAGAGTTAGGAATCCTTCATGTAGTAACTGACGTTTAGGATTTGCAATCAATCGTTCACATGGTTGGCGTGCTAAACTTTGACGTAGAAATTCAGGGATAAACACTCTTGGTTCCAGTTCTGATACTGATGGCCAAATCAGTTGAGACTGGATCTCTTGAAGACGTTCAAAATTTTTCAGCCAGCGCATTTTATCCTCCAGTGATTCTGATTACAAAATAAAATTAGTACATGTAAAAGTGGTACGATGTAATGTCATATTAGTTTTTAAATCTCATGTGTCACGTGGTGATTGAATAAAATTGTGGGAAAAGATTACTGTTCATAATCATATCGAATCGATAATACAACTTCATATTCCTTGTACTTAGAGTTCTGTTGCTTTACACACTTTGTTTTCTATGGTGGCAGAGTTATTTTCATACCACCTAATAAGGTTGACTTTTAATACTTTTACTCTACCTTACCTTATTGTATGAGTGCGTGGGTATTCCTTTATAGTTGGAGTTGACGTTTTTATGGATTATTTACCCTTATGCGGTCTGTCCGTCTAAACACAGTTATATTTCGAAGCTGCTGAAACATTACTTACAACAAGCAGCTACTTTAACGAGTATGTTTGATCTGATAAACATCTTGAGATTAAAAAGGATTAATTTTACTACCGATTTAATTAGACCTTGTGATCACACTCATAAAAAAATTCTCAAGAATAAAGAGTTAGATAATAAAAGTGTTTAATTTGTGACGTATTTATTTTCTCTGACTGACAAACAACTATGCGAAGAAACTTTATCAACTATGATGGAGTAATACAAAGCGATGGGAGAAATCTTGGATGTTCAAGCTTACTGTGTCATCATAAAACAGATGGACTGTATTCCGTGGGACAAATTTCCTAAAAACAATTTTGAATTTATCTAACTAAATACGATATCTACAGATGTTTGGTTGGTTAGGTCTGAATTTATATTCTCAAAGATATCTAAGAATAGTGAGTGACACAAACCTTCATCTTTGTTTTTATGTACATATAAAACCCATCACTCACTCTACCGGTACACAAATAAATAATGTTTATCTAATGTGTATTATTAATAAGAAGACAGTAAACAATGACTTTTGCAGAAAATTTACTTCTTGTTTAAAACTTTCGTATTGTATTTATTACCAATGAAATAAGATAACCTAAACAACAAGAGAGAACAAGGGTTAGAGGAAGCAAGGATTTCGAGGAGGTAAAACAATTAGGAATTTCAGTGAAGCAAGAACAACACGCCTTGCAGGATACGATGAATTTATGGCATTTTGTCGCTTTCTTTTAAACTGTTATTGTCAAAAGAAACATAGACATGTGTTCACAATAGTAGCCTTTATTGATCTTCAAAATTCGTGGAAGTTATTGCTTCTGAGCAAGTAAAACTCATCTTTTATTGGTTGCAAAATAAACATGTAGATGTTACAGGTTGTATTCCCGTCGTTAATTGGTTCGAATTGATAGACCACTGTTGACAAATAAATTTCCGAGGTTAAATCGATATCATCGGTAATTTTAATTGTACAGCAATAACCGACAGTGGCTAGCCTGGGAAATTTGTATGCGCGTTTCGTTCTCAGTGCTTTCGCTCATACATATCTTGTAATCTAGTTACATGAGTATTTGTGGAGGACATTTAGCTACTATGAGAGTCAGTAGCTTAAGGGTAGGGTGTTGACCTTTGTGACTCTTGTCATCGTTTTACCTATATTGTTGATCTAATGTCTGATTACGGGTTTGATTGACTGATTACTAGTTGACTGGTCCCTTCCTAGTAATCAGCTATTGGGCGAGTGTCTAAATATCTGTAGATTGCCATTTGACTGCAGCAAAATGCTCCCAGTTATTCTGTTTCTTTTCCTGATGGTGTTGTGTTCTCTGAGCTAGATAGTTTAGTCCAGAAGATTTCATTGTAATTCTAGACAACTTCATCCATACAAACTTTAGGAAGAAGTGAACCATAAGGTAGGGTCCTGATGGCCTCATTTGTAATTGATTGTTTCTACTAAATTCTTGTCATTGTCTCCATGTATTAATTTAGATTGATAATCCTGCTGGCGTTAACTTTCACCTACTTGTTCTTTCTTGTTGGTTGGTAGATAGGGTCAACGTCGATATGTCTGGTAATCCCCAACTGACCTGAATACCAAGCTTCGATAAATTCTTTGGCATTCTTTTTTCTCAGTCATCTGTAGGCATTGATATGAAAGAGTAGTGTTTATACATTTCTTATTTTATGGAAATTTTGTTTGTTATTAATGCTGTTCAAAATTTGACCTATGTCTTGTCTTTCCACACACATGAATCTTCAAGGTTCTATTATTTTTTCAGTTGATAAGAATGTGTGGAACATTATTTCAATAATTTCTTCTTCTGTTGTGAATTGAATACCATCCAAGGTGTAGTTGATGCGATGGAATGCTGTTATCAGTTTACTTGTTTTCATCATCCCAAAAGTTTTACTGATGTGGTGAATCTAAATTTTTGGTTTGGTTATTGGAATGACTATTAAATCTAACAAATTTAACTCTGCCTCAGCTATCCGTCTAAATTTTGGAAAGCCTACGACAATTCCTTCAGTTTATTTGTAAGTATTCCATTTGAGCTAGATGTACGTCGCAAAAATTCGTTCTGTAAAGTTTGTAGTGGTAATTTTCTTATACTTTCAAAAATTCAGGCCATTTTTGAAATGCATACTTCTTACCTTTGTGCCGGGATCTGAGTGGATTGACGCAAAATGTGTGGTCACATCGAAAAAACATCGTTTTGCTGTCACTGTCTATGTTTATGCCTTTTTGTTATAGGGTAAAACAAGGCTATCAAAATCCCCATAAGAAGTCGTAGACCCCTGAAGCCTTTTACAACCACTTGTACTGTATTGAAGTTTTGTGAGAAAACAAGTGAACTGATGTGTCAATATCATATTGATTGACAAGAAGAAAATTTAGAAAGACTTAGAATTAGCCAAGGTCACTGTAAATATATAAACCGTTGTATTTTGTATGTATTTTTTACGTTGCAATACATCTGTTATCTTACCGCCTTTCCAGTTTGTCAAGAAAATAAATGACCCCCAAGAGTGAAGCCTTTGGTATTTGTACAAGCAGCCACCTATATATAACTGAGATATGAGAAGTGGTAACAAAGGTTTCAACAACTTTGTTCTCCCCAGGAAATGAATTGCTGAAGTGACTGGGTGTTGTTTTCTATAAACGTTTTAGGTTATCGTATAATTTTCTTGATAAATTGAAGATGGTCTTCATAATAGTGACACTTTTGATCACCTGTAGAATCTAAGTAGAACTGGATTCCTTCATCACTTCTATTCTTTTTTGGTTTGACCAGATTTGACCAGGCTACGTGATTCTTTTGTATTCGACTGTTCAACTGTTTGATAGAATTCCTGTCTCGTAATTGCTTCTCATCACTGACTACTTCTTGCACTGTCTTTATGCACTCTGATTTGTTCATGACGATGGTTCTCCTCCCTTCGTATGATTGTAGTATCAAAATATTTCCGTCTTACAGGGTGAAACTCAGTGCTTTCTTCTCCTATGTGCTGAGTTTTGCTTTTTTTCCTTGATTTTCACCAGCAGAATAATTAGGTGTAGTGCTTGTTCTTCGTCAGCTGTTATTTCTTCAGTCTGTAGTGAAGGATATTTAGATTCTCACTATTGTTGTTTACTCTGTATTGAGTAAACCATACTCTGGAGAAGACACCATATCATTCTGAAAAGTTTACTGCTCACCCTTTCTTTGTTTCTTTCTGTTCTTATTTTGACAGTCTGAGAGATATTTTGGCCAGTTTTTGTTTCCCTTAATAACCTTTAACTTTCATTGTTATATTTTTCTCAGTCGCTAGCTGACTCGGTATCTTTGTTCCCCGGACTGGCTTCAGTATTTATCGCTGCGTAATGATTATCCTACTGTATTCATTTAGTCTATTGTGTCAAACGTATATCACTAAACGGAACCATTACTCCTGCATTTTGTTCATTAGTCTTCCTTCACGTGGGACAATTGATAAGCCGTCTAAATTTAACACTACTGCCTTGAAACATGGTAAGTATAGCTGACGTAACTTGATAAGGTGATTCGTAAACTGTATCTCATCTTATTACAATAAGCCTATTAATTAATTAAGAAGTTACTGCATACTATAATTCCATTTTAGTCTGTTTATTAGAAATATTACACAGTGAAACAGTAACACTTACTGGATAACGTTTCGGACACAACTTATTATCCATATTCATTTCAGGTAACTCCTCAACGTCGAGACAGAATTAAGGTAGTCCTAATTCTATCACCTTCTCTGTGATGACAAGGGTAGTAGAATTTTCCATATATCTGGGACAGGTGCAGAATTATTTCGAATACATGTATTTGGTGTTGATTTGATAAACAATGATTTGGTTATCAATCTCTCCCTCCACTCAACTAAGTTAGTTTTCAGCACTGTCGCCTTATCTTACCCTACTGTGTGACTGTGTATCATCGCATGCAGAGCTTTAGCCTAGCTTTTCTCAAGATTTCTTATTTTATTAGGATCTACTAATCTTGATTTAGCTTAGTTTTTGTGCTCTGTTATTCTAATCTACCCTGATCGACTGCTTTAACCTGTGTACTTGACCTCACAATCATGGCAAAGGATCTGGCAAACTAGATTATTTTGCGAAATAATCTGGTTTACCAGATAGAAGTTTTGGAGTTACCCGATATGAATATGGATAATAAATTGTGTCCGAAACGTTATTCAGTAAATGCTACTGCTTCACTGCGTGACATTTCTAATAAACAGACTAAAATCAGATTATATGTGAACATTTCCAAAGATCTAAACGATTGTTAAACGGTCTTAAGTGTTGAATGAACATCAAAGTCGACATATTTGCAATTCTGAGGCAACTACATGTAGTCTTCGCTCATAATTTCAGAGACAAAAAATGTAAAAACATTTTTCTCGAAATTTCTATGGAGAACTTTGTTTTTTATTTGATCAGATATTGTCTCTTTCTTTTCAATCACTGGTTTTGAAAGTGGGCTTCACTAGCTTGCTTCAAGTGTGAAAGGGCTGCAAAGTAAGAAAATATTTTAATCAACGTGTAACGGGAGAGTGGTTACACTCTGAAGAGCATCTATCCTATTTTAGTTGAATAAACTGATAAGAAGTGCTAATTCAGCGTGGGATTCATGAGACAAGTACAATATATAGACAAATAAAATCACATACAGTTTTGAAAATTAATGCTGTTCCCTAAAGCCTTATTATATCACGTTCTACAACTCATTCAAAGCCGTTTTCATTGTTTTAATACTATATATCTTGCACTAAATGGTTAACATAAGATCACGTAATATTATTAAATGACCTCTTTTGTATTTTCCTTAACGAAATAATGTACAATACTTACAGAGGGTACTTAGGTGATTTTAAGTGATCTTACTTATCAAAATCATACTATCATTATGATAATCATACATACTGACATTTGATCTTCGTTGAGGTTTACCTTTGAATCATTATTGTTATTATAATGTTCTAATTGAAAGATCTCATATTTAAGCTGTTTAGTGGTAAAAATAATATTATTCACTCATAATGAGACTTTCCGCTTGATGAACACTGGTTCGCATTGCTATATTTTGTGACGAAATAAACCACTGTTGTAGGTATAGGCAGTAATAAATACAATGACTGACTCCATGTTGGCTAGCGGCGGGATCTAGTTTGTGTTCCGTCCTGTTTGAGACTAGTCAACTGGATTTATCTGCATCCTAGTGGGTGATATTGTCTCGACTTTGACTCGAATCTTATAGGCGTCACTTTAGACACCAAAGAATTACCTAGTAGGGCATTGAGGCATGATAGCCACCTCTTGGAAAAACAGATGTTGATCAGTTTGATCCAGTATAAAAAACAAGGAATTACAAGTATCAAGGTGTAATGGTGAAATAACTACTGTTTTTGTAACATAAATCAGCATAAAGAATCATTGTTTTTCTCGTTGTATGAAAAAGCCTCATGAGAGGAAGCGCTAAGCCTTTATACCTAAAGTAACCAACTTAGCAATCATTGAGAAATAAAAATCCAATATAATAGCGGTTAGGCTATTTTTCTTTGGATCTGTTAAACTTTAGCGCATCACCGATGAACAAAGATAAGGTAAGTTTCGGCAAGCGGAAAACTTATACTTACAGGGATCTGCCATCAAATGAAGTCCACTTTGAATTCAAATGTCAGATACGGTGTCACCTAAAAAATTCACTTCTATGATAACTAAGTTTCGATTTAATGTTGTCTTGTTACCGACATTCAAGAATTTTAGCAGTAGTAGTTCATTTTAGCTCATTAAAAATTGTTTTTTATTACGTTTATGATTAAGTTTCCCATAGATCTACATAAACATGTACATCAATTTGATATTGTTTGTATTATCTCAACGTCGTCTGGATCGAACTGATCAGTTTCTATTGTCATATGGGTTGATAGATGGATGCCTCGATATTGCCAGAATTTTCAGTTTTAATAGTAATGATGGATAATAGGTAGCAGTGGATTCCAGGGTATGCGTTTCGTCCTATTTGGGATTCACCTTTTAGATGTACCTGACTTCCAGTGAGCGATGTTGTTCCTACTAAACTTCAAAACCGGCACTAACCGCTTAAAACACCAGAACATTGTCCTCACTTTGTGACGATGGGCATTTCTTGGGTGACATGCATAGTTTGTGTTGTTGCCAATCTCGTGACCAAAAGGCCTAGTGGGTAACCCTTTGGCTTTGTAAGCAACCGGTCTTGGTTTTGAGCCTAAGTGGGGACAACAATGCCTACTGGGTGGCTGGTATATTTAGCTAATGGGCCTTAAGTAGGACGAAACGTACGCCCTGGATTTGACTGCTGGCCGCCATGCATCATTAGTGTGCATCAAAACTTTTGTTATTGGTTCCAGGTGAAACTGTTTACTTTTATGCTACTTTTAACATTTCTGGAAAAGATGTCATTAGTTTTTGCTTTGGAAACCACTGATATTCGGCTTCGTTGGCTATGGATAAGAGATTCATAAGTCAAAACTTTTGGTGAATATATTTCGCTTTAAAGACCGGGATACAACGACAAGCTACATTCCATTTCTTTTCTATTATTTGCAAAATTATTGTTGCTGCCACTGTATCTTGAGGATGACTAAACTTGAAAGGAACTAATCGAAGCAATGGATTTGATAAATGCTCTACATTAGCCTCCAAACAGCCATTAACTCATTATTAGCCTTACATATCTTGACATTTAATATATTGACAAACTGTAAGGTAAAATTATGCGTAGTAAATTATCAGCCACATTATGTCCACTTTATAACATTTTGAGGACTTATGTAGCTGCTATTTTTTGTATCACGTTTTCTGACCATTTTGCACATTTACATATTTTATAAACTTCTCACTGGTCAGTAAGAAGTGTTATGATTAATATACAGTTGTATTTCCACGCCGAGTTTTGTGAGACTAGTAAATAAACTGAAGCAAGAAATAATCGCCAATATCGGAACTCAGAATACTGAGATGTAACAAGGGCATTCTTTTAACCAGCAGTATATTATCTGTTTTGTATGGTTGTTCTTGTCTTATTATGAATATGTCACAAATATAGCCTAGCCAAAGCTATTTCTATTACTTTAAAATGGCTGATCGCGGAGTATTGTGACTAGATGGTTTAGTGAATAACGCTCCTGCATTTACAGCGATCGGCTCTGAGTCCAAATCGTAGTAGGAACAACATAGTTGATTAAAACGCAGGTAAGTCCGGCTAATGAATCCCAAACAGGATAAAAAGCACCTCCTGAATTCCACTGCTGGCTACTATTCATCACTAATCATAGCGTAATTAGTTGAAAATTTTGCCATCGAAGGTCAAATTAATAGCAATGTAAAACTAGTGAGATTTAATCCAGAATATTCAAAAGCGGTCATTTATGCACTTGATCCTAGTTACTGTTTTATTTATGTATAGTATAGAAATGACAGATATCAATTCCTTTTCACTTTTCGGGTAATCAGATCCAGTATAATCATCATCAACAAAAATATGTCCTCATTCATTATTGTTTAGATGAAATGATACTAAATTCTTTCCAGTGAAAATCACTTACTTAATGAATTTTCAACTTTCGTTAAACATGCTGTTAACATTTCTTGTTCAGCACTACATGCTGTATAGCGTCGTATACTGCTCAGCATTAATGGTATCTTCATGTAGTGTTGCATTGGTGCAACAAGAAGATCAGTTAATTGCAATCGTCGACAACGTGTATCTTGTTCACACCACTAAATTGGTTTTTTCAAACGTAAAAAGAAGAAACATCAAACAAAATTTTCAATTAACCATTATTTCATCACTAGATAATACTTTTTTAAAGCTGGCTACTGTATAAAAAAGGTGCTACTTAAGAAGTTTATAACTATCACTTGAAATACGAAATAATTATCGTCGTTTTGACTCTCTGAGATAGTCGAGGTTTGGCAGACTACTATTTATACTAGATGGTGACTGAAGGTGAGATGGAAATTTGAACCGAGGCCGATTTGAACCAGCAACCACCGGGTTTCCGACCCGATGCTCTACCAACTGAGCTACGAGGTCCGACTGCTGACTTTAGTCATTATGGGTTTTGTCCGACTACAATATGAACTCTGCATGCGTTACTACTTTTTGAATTCCTGACCAGGTAGCCAGTGTGAATACGATAAAGCGTCAAGAATTCACATGATAGTCGGGAAAAACTCATGGTGATTGCAGTGAAATAAAAATTTGACCAGCAGTTAAACCTCCTAGCTCAGTCGGTAGAACATCGAGTCAGAAGAACACTGGTTGCCTGTTCAAATCCGTCAACAGTCCAATTTTTCATTTCACCTTCAATCATCACCCAGTATCAAATAAGTATTGGTTCGTATATACTTAAAAATCAGGCTGGTGCAACTTTGTTGCATAATGCATTTTGTGATACTTTTGTGACATGTATAACTTCTAACAACTTTACAGATGTTTTGCTAGTCGGATATTTAGATCATCTTAATTATATAATATATCGAATAACAAATGTTTGGAAAGTATGTGTAATGGCCCGAAGTTAATAAACGAGATCCGATTTAAGCACATTTATATTATTTTTTCAGTTACCAAATTCAGTTTCTTTTACCGACGCCTTAAGAAGAAGTAATATTCCATGGTGTGAGCCAGTCAAAATTTTAAGCTGCCCCTTCAACTGAGTCAATAACCAAACTCTACTTCACAGAAGGGAACAATTAGTATGAATAGTCAGTTAATTAAACACAAACTAGTGGAAACATTTTGGACTCTATTTGTGTTTAATCTCTCTGACTGAGTAAATTCACATTTGAAATCATCATCGCCTATAACGAATCATTTGGAGACTGATCTGAAACTTTTATGTCTCAGGAATGTGCAGGAAATGCCAATTATTACAACAGACTAGTTTATATAATGTAGCCACACACACTAGGAATAAGATATATTCCTCACAATTATATAAAATGAATTACGAATTAAGTTTTTGTAGTTATACCGCTCATCATCCTTTGGTTGCAATAATGATTCTGCTTTTCAAATATATGGCTAGAACCTCCGCTGATTCATTTTCATGGGACGTTTAGGCACTGAATCCATGAACAAACACTATTTTGATAGTTCACTTCTGATCACAGGTTTTTTACCAAAGCGTTATTCAACTCACTAGTTTAGAAACGTGTCACAAATTTCTGGCGTATTTACAGTGTAATCGGCACTAGCATTTTTAAGGCATAACTACAGGATGAAATTGGTTTGTCAGATAAATGTTACTTTAAATGCTGGTCCAGATAACACAACATTTTATGTCCTTAAGTCAACAAGATAAAATATTTTCTCAGAATTTGATCTAAAAACAGATTTTGAAATAATCCTGCGCTTCAGCGATGGTATCTTGCGACTACCATCCACCTATTGACTTAACAATGAAACCGATATATCCTACAGATAACCTCGTTCAGCGCGTTAAGGACAAAATACTGCTTTTGCCTACCTTAGCATGCATCTATCAGTTTACCTGTTGGAGCAACATACTTTGACTGCACATGGCACCAAGTCCGCAAACATATTTTGGAACATTTTCAACTTGATTATCAAGAGGAAAGTGAAAAAAAATCGGCATTTCTATTTTTGAATACCACTCCAGATATCTGACTCCTCCCAGTAGTTCCTTCAAATTAATTTACGAAGTGCTTTTCTATAATTCCAAATATCTTCGATTGCGCCATTTGTGTGTAGTCGCATCATTGGTAATTCACACCCTTAAACATGATCCTAGTGTTCGAAAACGTTATGCACACTAGTTAGACAAAGTAATAATTTCCTTCTGTTGAATACTGTAGTGAACAGGTATCGTTATTGATTGATAATATACTGTTGTTTGTTTCCAACTGCTTTAAACACGATTGCATGTGGATATGGTTGACGAAATCGTTGAAAAAAAGAACTTCTTCAATGTCTATTCTTTGTTTTTTATTCAGTATGGGAATTTTCCATTCGTTAACTATATATTTGTCATATTAACCTTTTAATCAATGCATTTTCTATAGACGACTAGTTTTAATGCCTTCTTGAACATCAGGATCAACGAAGGCAAGTAAGATAAGGAACGGTATTTACAGCTTACATTTACTGAACAATGCCTGTCCTCAACCAAAGGTTAATTTCAGAGAAAGCAATCAGAATAATGTCTCTGGAACAACATGATGTCATTTTATTTCATTGTATCAAGCCACTTTGCCACTTCTGCTTACTTAAATGACATAATAGGATTGTTATTTATGATAAGAGTACGTATGATAAAGGCGGAGAGATAGTTGACACCCGAGATTTTCATATGGATGTTTTAAAGTCACCGTTTCAGAGATTCAGCCCTACTTGTCAGTTCAGTGGCATATCACATATTTCACAAAACTCATGAGGTAAAAATGAAAGAAAACCTTCTCTACTACTTTGAATGGTTGTAGCCATCGTTGCTCAATAGAGCAAACTTCAATTATGCCTTCAAAGGGAAGCAGAAACTGGTTTATTCTCACCCAAGTTGTCAGCACACATTTCATTTTGCTTTCCGAAGACTTTTTATTCTCAACCACATAAATATCCACAGTTGTTTGAAGAATAGTACCACAGTATGTTTCAAACAGGAATCCAAACGGTTATGCTTAGATCCCACGTTATTCTATTTATTTGAGAGCATGTTGATGTCTCGAATCAATTTTATGAACTACACATTTTTATTGCAGATTTTAAATGGTCTCTGTGACCTTCAAAACTCTAGCTGATAACATACTCTTCGCATAAAGTGTATTCCACTTTTCAAAGTCATCACTTATCTGTATGGCGTAATGGATGATGTTCAATAGGATCCAAATCAGGAGTCTGTGAAATCCCCATCCCACACAAAACCAGCTAAGTTCTGAGACTCAGATATCTACCAAGTCTTGACTTCACTCAATTGTATGGAGCTGATGAAAATTCTCTCAAGAAAAAAATGATGCTACATAAATTTGCTAGTACAATCTTCACTGAATCGTTCAACTTCAATAAATGTTCTTTGATTGATCGGTTAAAATATCCATCTAACCCCGTGAAATAAAATCAATACAATTTCCCAAGAAACATCATTTTATCCCAACACATTTTCCGACAATGTAATTAAAGCATTTACTGCATCTAAACGCAGAAATCAAAAAAAATATATGTAATCTCCTATCCCTACTAAAGTTATTTCAATGAAAAAATCATGTTTTTACCTTAAGAAGGGATCATATGTAGATGCATTTATGTCCACGAGAACGTATTTATGAACTTCAATATCTTATGATAGTAAAAAAATGTAAAACACAACTTGAAGAAACATTCAACTCCTCTTCTTGTGTAATTCCCTTGCAGAAAATAAATTTTTTCTCTGAAAGGTAATTAAGTCTAGTCACACTGGGCAATAATAAAAGGTAAAGCAATAAAAATCATCGAAAAAAAGCTCAATAAAAGGCTGAAATATGAGGAGAAATGGTGCAATGCCTTTCAAGAAAAGCAAATTAGAAAAGTCTCCATAAGCTATCGACAATTTATTGTAAACTCAGAACAACAGTGTAACAAAAAAAATGTAAATAATGATGATCAGTTTAAAAGGAAATAAAAATTCACTTGACTGACCTTCTCGAATTCATTAAAATGTTCAAATTTTCTTAAACTGTCCAAGTATGTTAACGCTGAATCATAATTTAGACAGTAATTGTGATAAATTTCTCCATCTCTAGAATGCTCAGACCACTGGGTAAAAAAAAGATTGAAGAATATAAAAGAAAAAGGAATAAAATCGATGACATACTGTATATTAACAGACCGAAAAATAATGATTTGGTCCTAAGATAAGTGTTCGGTTTTAGCAATTACTGTATGATCATTCCAGAAGGTTTTGTTCAATGTTGATAAGAAATCGATTCACCCACAGTCTTGACGTGTAAGTATGTATAAATTCCAGGACCTTTTTCTGACAGTTACAACCAAAAGTATTCAACTTGAAACAGTTCTCAAATTTTTCGTTAATTGTCCCTGGTGTTTTCATTTCCATCAGTCTGACTGCTGTACATTTCTTTCTGCTAACAGGTCTCTAGGTGTTGTGTTTTGTGAGCTGAACTTGGTCATGAAGCTTTCATTATATTCTAGACATCATCAGGACAAACTTCAGTATGAAGATAAAAGCTTCACGATTAACCCATCCACCTCAAAAATACATAACACCATCCAAATCATCCTTCCAAGTTACAAATATTCTTCAAAATCTCAAGATTTCTAAACGGCATCTCATATTTAGTGGACGGAAGGGATAAGAAATAAAATTGTTTTCATGACAAAAAAGGTAAGCTTAAGTAGTAACGCGAAATCGTACTGACGTTTATCAATTAAACTTTATTAACTATCTCTCTCGCTTTGCAAGATTTGTTAACTTTCGAAACTTTGCCTTATAACCTACCCTTTTCAATGGTCGAAGTAAGACATCTGTACTGCCAAATTCATTTGTTACCGACTCTTGACTCAAATTGCTGATAAGTTCACGACAAAATGTATGACTAACCTGGAAACAAACCAAAAAACAATTAGAATGACAGACTTTGTGCAGCCTTTATAAAAGCCTCAATGGATATATTTGAGCTGCAAAAGTATGCTTGAAATGGGAATTGAAGTGGTTTGAGAACCAAACGCTTTTTCAGCATCTAGGAGGATTCAAATATAGAAATGAGGTGTCAGTAGCACTCCTCAAAACTGATATATGAGACCCATAGTAGGATCTTTCTGATTTCTGTGTCAATCAGTGGAAGAGTATTATTAACTGTCGGTGTTTCGACTTCAATTTATTGCTGATAGTAGCATTCTGGCATTGTTTTATAGATCTGTTGTTCTTCATCCTTTGATCTGATTAGTGGTAAACTTTTCCACTTATTTAGAACCGGTGTGTTGTTATTACTATCATGTATCAAGTGTCAATTGGAGAAACGAACTTTCAGTTATCGATCTCTCTAGGATGCTAAATATTGCAAACTGAAATGGCCTGAGACAAGCTAAATTCATCTGAGGCTAATTTGAAGTGGAAAATGTAAATCAATACTTGCAATTTCCGGTCACGATACTGGGTTGAAATGCTTGGCCCAGTGGCCTAGTGGATAAATCTTTGATGTATGATGCGATCGAGTCGTAGTGGGAACAACATCATTTACTGGAGAGCAAGTACATCCAGCCAATGAGTCTTAAATAGGTTGAAACACGCGTCCTAAATTCCATTGCTAGCCTTTGAATAAACTAGAAGATGAAAATAGTTCACTTGATCACTGTTGACATCCAAAAACACATTTAATTTACAGTGTGTCCAATAAGAAGAAATGCAATGAGCGTGTTATTATTTTAGTGTTTCATAATCACTAGTCTGGTTTAGATTTACCAACTTTACATTTAGTTGGGAGGATTCATGAAACTGATTAAATTCTCGGTGATTTAGTTTAAAAGAATTTTTTGTAAAAGAAGCAACTACAGCTTGCTGAGACGGTAGCGTCGGTATAATTTGAAACAGGCTTTCCAGGAACGAACCTAAAAAATTTGATTTATGGCTGTACCTGCTGTCATTGTAGCAGGATAAAAAGAAAAGAACTTTTCAACCAGCCGCTTTTGTTCCGGTTAACTAAGTATCTAAAATTAAAGTGATCTCAACTTCCATCTGCAATCAAGTATACTTTTGGCGCGTTACGAAAAAAAATTTTCAACAAACTCCACACATAAATCAACAGCTGCCACCTATGCCTACTAGATCCCGGAGATCAGATGGATGGGCAGAATAATAAGAATAAGCAAGAAGGAACTCTGGCATGGCAACGAACCAACTGACTGAGAACCTATCGTCCAAAGAATATGCATGAGAAAGTGAAGATGGGTTGGATTGAATTGAACTGAGAAGACTGTTTGGGGACATCACGCACCAGGTCCTCGAGTGGGACCCGTATGGGGAACGACGAGTTGGGTGTCTGAGGGTAACATGGAGGAGATGGTGTGAGGAAGAAACGAAATCTTATAGGAAGTCTTGGAGCCAGGTTGAGAAGACTGCAGAGAAGACAGTGAAATGGTGACGTGCTGCAGAAGCCCTATATTCCACTAGCAACCCATAGGATAAATAAAAATAATAATAATAATAATAATAATAAATAAATACTTTAGCCACAATGTAATGTTGATATGGTAAGGTAGGGGATATACGAAAGACAATCATTTCAAATGTTTAGAAAAGCTTTGAAACAAGAATTGAAAGTGATTCGACAATATTTTGAAAAACCAAGAAATCTTTCTTTTGGGCAGTCAGATGTGCCTTTAGGCGGTGACAAAAATAACCTAAATAGGTAAGAAGTTTTGTTTGACTGGTACGTGAAGAACAGCAGTGTTAAATTGGTATTACGCCATTACCATCAATACACTACCAGAACCAACTATTGTTCTCAATATATGTGCCGATAATAGGACAAATTGCATTTCTTAGTTTCGAGGCAATTAGCTATAAGCTCGGTTAACCAGTGAGCTAAGAAGAACATTTTACTTAAGATATTCCTAAGAATGAGAATATTTGAAGCCAAGAAACACTACGCATCACTTTTAGAGTATTTTCTGATTATGATAATCATGTCATGCCCTGATTTGATTGGAGGTTATAAGCAATTTGAGAAAAATGATGGTTATTTGAGTAAAGTAGGCCTTCATGGTTGTCGACCGCTTTAGTTAACTGTTAGATTCTTTTTGACACCCGAATATCTAGTGCAATCACTAATAGTAAAGGCTTTAATTTAGATTAGTTAGCTGTAACAGTATGCTGCAAAGAAGTAAGGCATAATGTATTGCCATAATAATATTATGGTATTCACTTTTACACTTTGCAGTTCACTTACTGCATGATGTTCAACTTGATATGATTTTGAAATTTAAGCAGATGTTCAAAACTACATGGTATCCATTATGTATCGCCTGGTTAACTAGTTCAGTAGTTACTAGACGGTTCTAAGCCCGGATAAAGAGGGGAGGTTGCCCACAGGGCTAGCAACCCTACCCCGTAAAACCAATCGAACCACTAAAGAAATTTCAAAACACAAAGAAAATTTAAGCAAATGTTAAAAACTACATGATATCCATTATGTGTCGATTGTGGGCAGTCGTGGTGCCACGTTGAAAAGACTGCAGAGAAGACAGTACAATGTAAACGTGCTACTGAAGCCCTATGTTCCACTAGAAACCCAATGGGCAAATAATATTAATAATCCATTTTGTATCAGTTAGCTGTGTGCGTTGACAGACTCTTCATGCTAACCTTTGTAGGTACTTATTTTTTCCATTAGCAACTGTCAGACTGTTGGCTAACGAGTAGAGAAACTCACTAACTTCTCATGAAGTTGCTCAACTCGCACGTCTGTATGTATACTAGGTGATGATTGAAGGTGGGATGAAAATTTGGACGCCGGCCGGGCCTCGTAGCTCAGCTGGTAGAGCATCGAGCCTGAAATCCGGTAGTCGCTGGTTTGAATTCGGCTGCGGTCCAAATTTACATCTCACCTTCAATCATTACCCAGTAGAAATACAAGTGTGTCAAACTACGGCTTTCTCAGACCGTCAAATGATAATCATACGTCTGTGTAAGAACTCTGGGTCAATGAAGTATACGAATTCCAACCAAGTAGTTGGGAATAAGTGAATTTGTTAGTCTCCAAACTAAATCATTCTCTAAACCTGATGAAGAGATACGGCAAAATGTGAGTTTGGCACTCTGGGACTTTCATAATGAAGAACATGGAACAAAAATGCAGTTGATCTCTTCCAGCGACAAGTTTTATCAATTGCATTATTTCATATTACCCTTTTTCCTTGCTCCTTTATTATCATGAGACAGATTCTGACACTTTTGCTTTGATTTCGACATACTGAATAAGTACTTCTTCTCCTTTTCTATGACTTAAGTTGTACTTGACTTTTCTCAATACATAATAATGTTTCGCTGACCATCTTTCTTCTTTTTCGAGACATTTGATAATAATTGTGTGTGAAAAATTCCCGTTATTTTTCACAGCCTTGAACAATGCAACAACAAAGACATTTGCAGAATAAAACGAGCTCATTTTATCTCAAGGTCTATCATCAGCTGCAAACAGCCTACAATTGAAATGAATTATTAGTAGTAGTAACAACATAACACAGTAATGATGAATAATGGTTAGCAGTGGAATCCGGAATGCGCATTTCGTCCTATTTGGGATTTGTCGGCTGGATGTGCCTGCCTCCCAGTGAGTGCGCATCCTGGATTCCACTGGTAGCCACTATCCATCATTACTATGTAGTTAAGAACACAGACAATATCAAGGCATCCGCACAGGAGCCCATATGACAACACAGACTGATCAATTCGGTCCAACCAACGACGGCAATAACACTAATAACATAACATACTCTAAACAGGCAGAAATAAATGGGGATTTGAAGTCTAGATTTAACAGTAAGGTAGTGAGTCAACGAAACACAGGAGTAATAGTTACAAATCCTCATTAAAGCCAATAGCCATTTATATCTGATTAAACAGCAAATTCTGGAGCTGTGGATTAGAGGAACAACAAAAGAAATTCAGTGTAAAAGGGGGGAGTTTTTATGAGCTGATAGATTACGTAATTACATGAAAAACTTGAAAATCATCAAGTTATTATTATTCAGTAAATAATTAACAAAGAGATGATGCAATCAAAAGAAGAAGGATGACAAAATACATACACATGCGAAAAATCATATACATTGACCAAGGCAAAGAAAAGATAATTACAATCTCTTCCTGAGTAAATAGGTCAGGTTGAAAATATTTGATAGCGAGAATTTGCGAAAACCGTTATAAACTTATTCTTTGTTTGCTTATTATCCTCAAGGATTGAGAAGCATCTATTTGATGTCCTGTTTCCATCAGGTGCCTCGCGATTGTGCCTTTAAAAATTTTGCTATCATTCAGACACAGATTTTTCGGAATATGCTTATAAAATCGAGTAGACGTCCTTCTTTCGGTCCGTTCTATATACTTGCTTCCACAAGCACAGGTGAACCGATATATACAGTTGGAGGTGATAGAAGATGGATAGTTGTCGGGAGTACCCGACTGTTTTATTAAGCATAGTTCATTTCACAGATCTCATTTTACAGCTCTGTAGTTATGCGAATTCAAGGCAATTGTGGACTGTAGAAAAAACTCAGTCTTGATCGGAGGTAAAATCAGAGATATGGGAATTGTACTGGGTGATGATTGAAGGTGAGATGAAAATCTGGACCGCGCCCGGATTCGAATCAGAGACCACTGGGTTGCCAGCCCGATGCTCTACCAACTGAGGTCAGACTGCTGACCAGAATTTTATTTCACTTCAGTTACCAATGGTTTTGCCTGACTACCATGTGAGTTCTTGACGGTTGATCATATTCACACTAGCTTCCTAGTCAGGACTTCTCATCCCACTGGGCAGTAACCCAGTGGTCGCTGGTTCGAATCCGGCCGCAGTCCAGATTTTCCTCTCACCTCCATTTATCATCCAGTACAAATACTACTCTGCCAAACTACGGCTATCTTAGATAGTCAAGTCATAATCGATATGGTAATTGTTTGAAGTTCACTATTCAAACTTAATGATAGAGTTGAGGAGGCTGATGAATCTAATGACGTTTAATAGTTGTTTCAGTCTGAATCGGAAATGTGAATAGATGACGTTGTGTCTTCTAGTTTTATTCCATGGCAAATTATTTTGTAAGAAATCAAACTAATCGTGATGATTTGAAGTCATTGCTAAAAGACTATCGAAGTATGGTATTAGCAACTATCAGGATCACAAACTCCTCAGTGATGTAAGTGAAGTTAGTCCTATAATCGATTTGGCAGGAAATCGCACCAGTACTTTCGAGTCCTTATATTCGAACTCCAGTGGCACACAAATTTTCATTTTGCCTTCAGTCATCAATAATACCAATTTGATAAACAGTTATTAACAATAATATTATCATGTTATACTTATGATCGGCATAATAATGTAGACATTTCTATGCGTATTAACTGGTTTAAAATGTAATTTCACAGCTGCAGAGGATGATATCGCTGAAGACAGATTTGTCCAGTGAAGCCTTTATTCTTTTAAGACCATAGTAGGCGTACACTTAGGAAATACATATCCAATAAATAGATGGGTAAACAAAGTCTATGTAAAGAAGATAGTGACAAAGTCACCCAGGCTGATGATGAAAAATCCAAGAACACACACCAAAGCTCAAAGAACAAAAAATTATTACTATCATCCTGAACTATACATCTTTTCCACTTTCTCAGCAATGCAAAGACTTAAGTTATTTGCTGGAATTGTGATAGTTGCAGCCATGTCATTACGATACTTGTAATTTTTGTTGCTATGCCGAACCAAATAGTTGGACCTCTGATGGTAGATGGGCTCTTATTTGGATGCCTCGATAGTGCCGAATATTCATGATGTTATACTAATCTTAGTGACTAGTGGAGGAATCAAGAGTGCACTTTTCATCCCAGTTGGGATTCGTTAGCTGGATGTACCTGCGTGACAGTGAATGATGTTGTCCTCACTGGTAAACGGACCTCGGGCCCATCGATTCAAACGCCAAGGCGTTATTCACTTGGTCACTGAGGTCAAAGAATTCGACGCAGTAAGACAACGGAGTAGTTCAGAGTATATCAATAAGCAGTAATATTATCTTGATTATTTTTTATGAACTATCTGGAAGGCAGTCGAGAAGGCAAGTCGTAAATAAATGCTTGTGGCTTGAAATAGGCTTTTCAAAAAGCTATTAGATTTAGGAGTCAGTCAGTAGCAATTCTGTACTTGACAAGGGTTCCATGTTTATCGACAGCTGTTGACAAAACAAGGCTCCAACATTATTAATTCATGCTGATTCATAGACTCAAACTCGCATCACTTAGTACTAACTTCAGAAACTTCACCAACCGGTAGTTGGAATCAAGATTTGATTACTGGATAGTGACCAACTTAAGTAAAGAATCATACGTACTGAGTGATGAATAAAGTCTATTTAAAAGCTTACAGATATTTCCCAACAGTATTACCTAATGATATTTGCCATTTCCTGTTGTTACTCTGGAATGAATTGATCTATCTCTATTGGCATACTGGCTACTGTGCGGATGCTTCGATATTGCTTGATTATTCATTATATTATGGTTGGTCTGGTGGTGACTAGCGGTGAAATCCAGGAAACGTGTTTCCTCTCGTCGAGAACTCATCAGCTGGAGTACCTGCATCACCAAGTAAGTGGCATCATGATGAAAAACCTGGCAATGTCAAGGTGTTCATATAGTAGTCCATACGCCAACAGGAGTCAGTCAGTTCGATCCACAACGACAGTGATAACTATTGCCTTTTCCAAAAGAGTTGTATCTCGTGCCCATTGGCTTAGTAGATGACGCATCGGAGTTTAAAGCAATGGGTAGCAGATTCGAGTGGCAGTGGGAACAAAATCACTGACTGAGTTTCAGGCACACATAGCTCATGACTCATAAACTAGATGAAACGGGCTTTCTGGACTCCACTTTAAGCCACCACCAAGCATATCACAAAATTTTCAGTGGTTTATAAATATGAAATGCAGTAAGTAGATTTTTGCTGTTGATTCAACTTTCGAAGAATCATTATTAGCATAAATGGAAACCTTTACTGTACCAAGATAGGCATGTTGCTTACCATTTAGTGAAAGTGCTTCAGCTTTCTTCGGCTTGATATTCTCAGTGGTTTGTTCCGTAGTTTGCTATTGATATCATTAGTATACATAAACGCCTATGATTTATTAGCTAATGAAGCACTCATGTGAATATGTTGAGTCTACTACACAGAAAATTTAACTCCATAGTAGTACGATATTATTAAATTCAGTATCCAAATTTGACCTGATAGGTACAACTGAACAGCTACAAAGAATCTTAAACGAACCTTGAATTAGAGCCCTTTACATGATAACCAACACTCTCGGAAACACGCTAGTCCATTAAAAAAATTCTTTTTACCTATACAGAAATGTGTCTACAAGTTAGGTTATGTCGAATGTGGTGCCTACTATATTAGGGAACTATCCCGTGAGATCCTTATTAGGGTTAAACGATATGGATGTTACACAAAATGACCACCAAATAATCCTTTAGAACTACAGAACTTACAGATCAAGTCGGCAATCGCGGTCCATGCCATCTGTCACAGTCACAAAATCGGTACTGAAAATATTATAGTCATTAAAAAAGGCTTTTCAAAGTACAAAGAAAGAAGAATAGCTGAGGCATTTCAGATTATGTTGAGTTCTGAAGCACTCAGGCAATAGAAAGGAAGGCCTTACTATCCAACCAACCTGAACAGTATTCCCGAAAACCGTATACCATATGAAATGACCAGAAGAAAAGTGTATACAAGCAAGCAAACCGAATTTGTCATCCATAGTATTATTTTTACGCATTCATATCCAGTCACACGTGCACATGTTCACATTAACCTGAACTCTAGAGTAATAATGGATGACAAACACAAGTTTGAAGGCTTCATGACCAACATAACAATGACATACTTATTATTATTTGACTGTATGAGATAGCCAAAGTTTGGCAGATTAGCATTTATACTGGGTGATGACTGAAGGTGAAATGAGAATTTGAACCGCAGCGGGATTCGTACCAGCAACCACCAAGTCTCCACCCGGTACTCTACCAACTGAGCTACTGTGCTTGATCTCGTAGAGCATGGGGTCAGAAACCCAGTGATGGCTGGTTCGAACCCAGCACCGTCCGAATTTGCATTTTACCTTCAGTTATCACCCAGTAAAGACGACGTATATGCCTGTATAATTATCATATATCGACACTGTAGTCTGGTTGGTCACTATTCATTAGTAAAGCAATCTTTTCTGAAGAAGCAATTTCCACAAACTCACGACACAAAAATTTATGTTTCTACTTCATTTGGATTTTACAGATGTATTTCATTTCGTATGTCATTGCATTCGTTAAACAATGTACTCAAGCCGATGACGCTATTGTTTGCAGTATCTACTACTTCAAACGCTGTATTTAACAAGATATGAACAGAGGCCACAACTCCGCTGTTTCACCCCAAGGAAAATGAATGACTCATCTGTGAGTACAGAGGCTTACATTATAAATCATGTAGCTTGTGATCAGTTACATTTCGTTAATAATGTGCTTAGTTCTACATTGAATGACAATAACTAACTCAGGAGTTGAGGAATATGGAACTTCCTAACAGGTACAGTATGTTCAAAAAGATATTTTGATGACAAAAACTGTGAAGACCAATCTCTGATCACTTAAAAAACAGTCTTTACATGTTACAAATTCAGTAAACTTGTGATGTTCGGTATTGATAACAAAAGACTTACGTAACACAGATCATCCAGGTTCCCAAACAAATGCATTGGTTCAACAAACATAAGATATCCATCTACCTGAAGCTTTTTCAATGGTTCCATAAAACACTAAAATTTAAAAAGAATTAGGCATAGTGATACACATTTGTGATTGCGTTTTACGTTGTCTGAGTATTTTCAACACTTATTAGCTTTCTCTATCATATGACTTCATATAGAAACCCCAGATTCTTCTGTTCAAAGAAATATGGAATGTCAGTATATTCAATTTAGCTTCTTCTCAAAAAGCGAAGCATTCCAAATATCTCTTGACAGATATTCAAACCGTTAGACATATGCCAATTTGTTTCAGTACGAGAAAGATGAATGTTGAGTAAATTTTGTTAAGAAAACTACTTTGAAATAATAAGGACTAATTTTTCAGTGATGTATTTTGAAAAAGGTTTTCAGTACGTGAAAATTGTTTTGATATCAATCAGAGACGTATCCAGGATTGGATATAATTGAATAGCCTTTTGAACCCATTATCATATTTCTCAACATCACGTACTTACTTATTCATTCAAGAAATTCAGGTCAAAAAGCAAACAGATTATTATCAACGTGTCACGGTTGGAAATGAGACGATGATCAGTCATTGAAACTAGTAAACATAATTCAAATTCATTCATACTCTGCTTTGATTTATTGCATATTAGTGGGGAGGGCCAAAGTTGAATCAAACAAATGTTCATTAAGACCTAGTTTCATTTAATACCTTAACAGATATCCAGGTAACATATAAGCATCCTCATAGGAGCCTATGCGTCAACAGAGGTCGAACAATTTGATACAGTAGAACAGCAAAGAATAATTCTCGTAGTAGAAGAGGCGGCTATCGTACCTTAGTGGATCTATGAATAACGCTTTGGAGTTCGAAGCGAAGGGTACAAGGTTTCAGTCTCCGTGGGAACAGCACCACTCACTCGGATGCATGTACATCCAGCTGACGAATCCCAACTGGGACGGAATGCGCATCCTGAATTCCTCTGCCAGCCACAACCAAGCAAATTACTTGAATAAATATTCAGGCAATATCGAGATATCCATGTAGGATCCCATATGCAAACAGGGGTCGAAAAAATGGATGGAGTATAACAGTGGAGAATCGAAAGTATAACAACAAATAGTTAATACTATAGTTGGTGTTAGTTTGTGGTGAAGATTTCTTTCAAATTTTGTAGTTTCTAGAAAGCTAATAAGCAGAATCACTGGCCCTTTGCTTTTTGAATAACAATCTCATATTTTTTGAGGGGGTTGTGGAGATTTGGAAGTATTTCAAGTTGTTATTCATCGAAGACCCACATCAGTTGGAGGAACAAAGGAAACTTGGGAGCACTGGACAGCTGTTTCGTCCTAGGACGAAACAGCTGTCCAGTGCTCCCAAGTTTCCTTTGTTCCTCCAACTGATGTGGGTCTTCGATGAATAACAACTTGAAATCTCATATTTCCTTATTCAAAGTCCTGCAGTACATGTTCCACTAAATTGGATGTGCCGTATGAAATCAGTAATCAAATTATGATTCTCTCCTTATAAAAGTAAAATTTACGTTTGTCTCCACACTTTCTCTGTGTTTAGAAATAATTAATCAAGTGATTTTATAATCATTCTTTTCTCTTGCTCTCTTTTTTATTTAGATAGAAATAAGTACAGTAGTTCTACCATTCTGCTAAGTTAAAACTGAAAAGCTACAAAGAATTTTAAGCAAACATTGAATTAGAGCCTTCTGCAAGACAGCTTACACACTCAAAAATGCTTTGCTTCGCTTACTAGGTAGATTTTCTCCTGCCTACACACTGAATTACTTCTACAGATTAGGCTGTATCGATTTTAATGTTTTAGTGTTCATACCATCTTTCATATTCGTAAAACTGACAGTGGAAATAATAAAGATTTTCATAGAGAATTTTCAAACTACAAGAAAAGACGGACAGCTGAGGCATTTCAGATTATGCTGAATCCCAATGCAGTCAACAGATATGAGGAAGGCTTAACTATCCAGACAACGTGCACAATATATCCGGAATAACACGGTACACATTACTAATAACCAAAGTGAATAAACCTAAACAAAGTAAATTCCTCATTAATTTCATTTTTCTCAAACCAAACTCATTCTCGTGAGCATACATATTTCCATCTTCATCTTGAACTCACTGAGTGATGACTGATACTATCATGTATGAACAAGGCGGTCTGATTTGTTTTCATGTACTTTTCACAGATGCAATAAGTTGTAGAAGTTTTATCTTCTGAAGAAAAAGCTTCCACAATGACATCAAACACCAGAAATTTATCTCTCTACCTCAACAGGATTTTATAAATATATTTCCTTCATAAGACTTTCATTCCAGAACTCACTCACCTTAAGTAATAGAATGTTTTACAATCTTGAGAAAATAAAATGTTATAAACAGAAAGTTAATTGCAGTTTTTTTCTAGTAGGATAGCAAACATTGATTGACTTAGCCACAGTCTCAGGTATCTTCATTCTGGTTCGTGAAATAATTATGTTACTGGGTGATCATTGAAGGTGACATGAAAAATTTGGACCACGGTCAGATTCAGACCAGTAACCATTGGGTTTCCAGCCAGATGCTTTACCAATTGAGCTACAAGGTCTAGATTTTTATTCCACTTGAATCATCAAGGGTTTCGCCCGACTACCATGTGAATTCGCGATGAGTCACTACCGCTTGATCGTATTCACACTGGCTGTCTAGTCAGGATTTCTCATCCCAACCAACATCTGACTAAATTAGAGAGGGGGAGCATCCTTTCGATGACCATTTTGACCACCTGAGATAGCTGTGCTTTGGCAGACTAGCATTTATACTGGGTGATAATTGAGGGTGAAATGAAAATTTGAACTGCGGCCGGATTCGAACCAGCGACTACCGGTACCACCTAGTATCAATACTAGTCTGCCAGGACACATTTATCTCAGATAGTCAAAAGGATAATTAATATGTGACATTCACAATGTCACTAGAGCTAACTTGAGTTGTTTTTGATCTTCACTAGCTCGAAATTACCATAAAATTGATGCAATTTTTTATGTAACGATTATCATAACATGTATTTGCATTCAGTTTCATAACAATGCACAATTATCATCTCGAACAGATAATACAAAAAAGGGTGTCTTTTTTATTGCATGGATTCATACTTACATTTTTGAGTACCATAAGATGATCAATAAAAAAGGTCAGTTCACTTTTGAATAACTCCCATACTGCTTCTCTTCGTCTAACTTCACGGTCTGGCATATGATCTTCTGAAGCACCACTTTTATCTAGGTGAGACCAATGAGAATCCTGAAAATAAATTCATATTAATACTTAAGGTGAAAATAATTCACTGAATTCACTGTATATTATTTCATGTAACATAGACAGTGATTGATGTCAATAAATAGAAACTTTGTTCATATTTCAAAACAATTTTCGTTGTGTACTGCTCTTTTTCTAGAATATACTTCGATAAAATTTTGACATTTCAGTTGAAATAGCGAATAACACTTGTCAGACATTTTGATTAGGAATCAATATTAGCAACTGAAATTTCTATATTCCTTGCTTTGAATGCCAAAAACCCTTGGAATGATTCGAAAGGGAGGTTACTGATTCGAATTTCAAAATCTCAAATACGTATCTTTGCATTCGTTATAACACATGATACTGCTAAAATCGGATTTTCAGGTAGCTGTAATTGTTCTCTTTAACCCCCAAAAATTGATGGAAATCAGTTTTAAGCCTTAAAGGTTTGTGGAGAATAAGTGATGTTGAATGTGAGGAAAAATACATACCAGTGGCATCAGATGGTGGTTGTACTATACTTTAGAGGAGAAAATCATTGAATTCCGACTGAGTGGCTGAAAGGTAACTTGTTCACCACGAGACCTGATGATCATGGGTTGGATCTCTGAGAGTGGCATGAATACGTTGTGTTGAAGAGGCCCACAAGAGAATGAGAGGCTTGCAGTGCTCCCAGATTTTCATTGACTCTTCAGCTGGTGACAGTGCATATTAAATACTTGCTATATACCCCTAATTTTGCCTAGCTTTATCTACTGTTTTGCCTATGACCTTGGAATAACCTACATGGCTGTTTTCACCCCATTACTAGTTCTTCTTCCTTTCACTGTCAAGCCTGAACTCTCATTGCTTGTTAACTATTTTTACTTATACGTAGATTTAGAGTTGTCAAGGTCATCTAAAAATGTATAGATTAAGTATCGCTGTCAAGTGTACTGATTTGTCTTCAAGCGTAGATGGTGTTGTTGTAGTGGTGGTTGACGTGTGATTTGTGTTAGAGTCGATTTGCTGTGCTTTAGGTTTGATTCGATCGCAGTCTGCTAAGCTCACAATTTAGGTTTTGCCACCGGTTATAGCAATACTACCTTTAAAGGTATCAATATATTCCTAATTCCTGGTCATATTAGAATACCTTCAGCTCATAAATATATGAATTTAACAACAATCTTAAGCAGTTGCAGCATTCAAGCCAACAACATCTACACTGTCAGTTATACTTCATTGTTATTTCTTATCATCTTCCACTTTCTAACGAATATCTGTATGATAATGGTTGAAGGTTAAAGACAGTACACAGAGGCTTTACTATCCCATCCTATTAATCTAAATGCCTATACCTTGAGGTGACATTCACTATCACATATCCAGTTCACCGCATACATATATTCAGCTACTTTTTTCTGTTCATGGAACATTAAACTCATTAATTTTATTACTTTCTGAAATGTAGGTTGATATTCAAATCTGAATGACAAGAGGATAAAAACGAAGGATATCCAAATAAGTTTTATATATTCCAGTAACTATTTTATCCTTCATTTGATCAGAAAACTTAAACTGTTTAGCGACTGATAAACAATGCTAAAATTGAATCCTTATGAATTAATCTGTGCATAGAATTTTGTCTTTTGACCTAATCTTATGCCTTACATATATAGATATCTCGGTTAGAAAGGTAAAGTAACCGTTTTCAGTAGACAGATGAATAAAATTGTATGTAGATCAATTTAAAAATGAAGCCATCGTATTCATTCATTTTTGGAATTGTCCTAACTTTACGTTTAGGCAGTGAATTGTATGAGAACTTTTAAAAATGTATCATAGAAGAGAAACAAAAGAAGAGTTAAGGAAATAAAATTAATTGTTGAGAAGAATAAATAGTTAATTCTCAATTTCATCAAAAGAAATAATATTGACTTACTGTATAAATATGAGACATATTTATTGAGAATGGATAGAAAAATTAGACTTCCCTATTTTATGAAAATCCGCCTTTTTAGCACAAACAAAGAAACCTGGATGGCCTTTAAAGTCACTCAGAATTTCTGGGTGACTCTGAAAACCCCCCTAGCAACTGCTGAACAGATCAATCAGGCTTCGGTATTTCTTCTGGGAAAGTACTATTCCATAAAATAAGGAAATGTAATTGGTTATCTAGTCAGTTGTCTGGGCGACCTTTAAAGTCAGCTAAAATTTGTTATACTACGAAGATATGGTAAATATCACACTTTTCTTAGATATGATTACTTTGGGATTGATTATGATTACGATAAGCGATATGAAACTTTCTTAGACTAACTTATATCATTAGTTCATGTTACCAGTTTGAAAAGTAAAGATATGGAACACTAAATTACTAGTATTGTACAAATAAGGACTCGACAGAATGAAATAAGTTGGGCAAATTATACCCTTCTATACAACTACCAATACTCATAGAAATGTTATGGTTAATGTGATTGTATTTTTATTTCAGACTGTGGCCCTTGTTATATCTATCACATTTGAAAACCATCCACTGAAATCTCTATACCTTCTAAAGGTTGCGTAAGCTATACAAAAAGGCCTTCAAATAGTTCACTAGAAAAACAGAATTAGCAAACATGACCTGAAGTCTTTTGCAGCCATCAAATTTTCTATGAAAACATTAAAATCACTCAACTAAGATTTTTTAACTACAAATAAGGACGTATTTCCGAGGTAATTTATGCCACTTTGAATGTTAATGAACCTAACTAAAATGATGGTCCAATTATGCAAACAACCTGACATTTTGTGTATACTAATAACTAGCAAGCAACCATGTAAAAAAGTGTCTTATTCATGTTAGATAGCTGAAGAAAGTTGGCAGTGAGTTTTACCAAACCTAAATATAACGTTATTTTGGGAGCCATAAACGACACGTATCTGAAACCCAGAGAAAACTGATGTCTTCTAAGAGATCGGAACATAAAGTACTGGAGTTAGAGACGTCAACATTGGGCTACTGACCTCCAGTAGGATAGAAATGAGGTACATTTATGCTACTGCAAACATTTAAAAGCTCTTAAATTGACCACCACCTGCAAATCGTACAGAAATAACACCAGCAGCCCAGCCACAGAACTACCAAATAACACAAGGCCAACGACAAAATCCGAAGTCCTGAACGCCATAAAGATACTGAAAGCCGGAAAATTAGCAGGACCAGATAAAATTATTCCACGAGCATTGAAAACAGACGTAGGGACAACAGCCGATACGCTCACACCGCTATTGCAGAAGGTTTGGAAGCAAGGAAGGGAAGGTACCTGAAGATTGGAAGAAAGACAACCTTGTCAAACTCCCGAAAATGGGTGACCTAAGTCTTTGCAATAACTGGCGCGGAATCATGCTCCACCCCTGTCCACCCCAAGCAAAATATTAGGCTGCATCAATCTGGAGAGATTAAAAAATGCCGTGCACTTAAAATTACGACCGGAACAGGTTGGTTTGACTTCAGCCGAAATAAATCATGTCAGCATTAAACTTTAATGCTGGGCTACGCATCATTATAGAATAGAGCATAGAATGACAGTCAACTCCCTGCCTCTACTTCATTTGCTTTAAAAAGGCATTCGATACCGTCGACCGAGAAGTAGTTTGGCAGGCAGCTGCTTCAACACTACGGTTTTAGTGCTACAAACCTTTGTCGACCTCATTCAACAGCTACATGCTATATGAGGATGCTACATGCCAAGTGATTGACAATGGGAAGCTCATTTATGCCTTTGAAGTGAAGATAGGAGTAAGACAAGTCTGCCACCTACTATCACCGATGATCTTCCTGATTGTGGTCAACCGGACTGAACTGGATCATGCAACAGATAACTGTAAAGAGCGAGTAGGTGGGCATACGCTGTTTCACCGTTGAAAAGATCTTAGAAGATTTAGATTTTGCGATGATGATTAATTTCTAGTATCTTATCATACAAACTCGAAGATGTACAGGCGATAACTAACAATTTGGCAGAAGAGGCAGGACGGCGAAGTAAGAAGGGACTTCCTTCAGGGGAACGTAGGGAAGACAGAGGGAATGAAGATACCCGGCCAACAACAGCAATAACAAGCACCTATAACTATAAGTGAAAGAAGTCTGAAGTAAGTTGTCTCTTCTACCTACCTACCTATCTACCTACCTACTTACCTACCTACCTAGGCAGGCAGCGTCGTTTCAACTACAGGCGACCGTGGAACAGATGGGTAAGTCAAAGCCAGGATCGGAAAGACACCAACACATTAATTAACACATTCATTAATCTGAAATCAAATCAGTGTGAAGATCTACTGAAATGTACTGCGTTGCACTCAGCATAAAGCGTGAACAAGACCTGGATTTGAAACACTAATGTCAAGTTCAAGTTGGTGCTTGTATATGATGGTTGAGAAACTTGGCGCGTTACGGGAAGCATTTGCAACAAACTGCGGACATACATCAGCAGCTGTCACCTACGCTCACTCGATCTTGAAGATCAGATAGATGTCCAGGATAGTACGAATAAGCAACAAGGAACTCTGGCCTGCCAACGAACCAACCAAGAATCTGTCGCCAACAACTATGCAGTAGAAAGTAGAGATGGATCGGCCATACAATGAGAAGACTGTTTGGGGACATCACGCGTCAGGTCAGGCCGTTGAACGGAACCGAAATGGGAAACGATGAGTTAGGCATTGGAGGGTGACATGGAGGAGATGGTGTTAGAAAGAAATAAGAGTTTACTGGCAGTCAGTGAGCCACGTTCAAGAGAATGCAGAGAAGAGAGAGAAATGATGTCGTGCTACTGAAGCTCTATGTTCTTCTAGGAATCCAAGGGACAGATAATAATAACAATGTTACTTTTCTCACACTCAGTGATATCCACTTATAGTCTAAAAATACAACTTAATGCAAAGTTTCACCCCCTGAAGATTTTGAAATATCAGAAATATGCTTCCTCACTTCACTAAGATTTTGAAAAAAATATTGTTTATCTACGCAATGATTAAGGAGCATTGATTTCAGTCGCATTATTTTCTTTAAATGAGAAGAGTCTGTATGAAGGCGTGTAATGTAAGAACTAATGAAAACTTGCATAATTTAGCTTTATAATTTTATAAAGGAATATAAGGATGACGGATGGGAAACAAAGTTATCAACCCGAGAAAAGAGTATATAATTAGATGCAGGAGAGGTGTTATTTAGCGTAGTTTTTTCATGTATATAGATTAGACGGTTCATTATATCGATTGGACACGGGATAGCACCCGATTTCATGTTGTCTGCACCTGAGTGCAGATCGAATCCTATGGATCATATTTGAAATATGGCCACCAAGCTATGAGGTTCAGCATTGCGGTGCATATTAGTGGAGTAATAGTAGACTAGTAGTAGAGTAGCTAATCATGGCCCGAATAGCTCAAAGGTAAAGTCGCTAACTACAATATTGGGTGATGCGGGTTCTTGTTTCAGACGGAACAACAGTTCCATCGAACTTGCAGATATGACTTGTTGACTTGTGCTAATAAGTAAGAAACCTAGGTACAAGGTTTCCTGCAGATTGGTTCATTATATAAAACATTTCGCTTTAGACACCAGAAAGACAACAGTAAAAAATAATCTGTAGTATAGAATACATCAATATTTCTAAAAATAATGACTCACTCGAAAGGATTCTAGATACTGGTCATGAAAATATGACGATTTGAGTGATTGTAATGCTTCATTCAGATCAAGAAGTGATTCTTTAGAGCGTGTGCCACGTTCAATCTCAAAAAAGAATAGAACGTAAAAGACTTGAAATTATGAAGCAATAAATACTCTATTTCATATGCCATGTTTCACAGGCTTTTGACCTACAAACTGTGAGGTAGGTACTTTATTCTAGTATACTCAAGTAAATATAATAAGAAGAATAACGTTTAAAATACAAATTTCATGGGTTACATTAAATGGCAGCAAAACTGTATTTAATAAAATGTATTGCAAAATAACTTTGAATGGATAATTGTGAATTTTCACATAATGAATATGATTTTTATAGATAGCCAGCGAAAATCATACAGGATACATATTTCATTTCTAATGCAAAATATCAGGAAGATACATCAACATTCATATAGAAGGTATCTCTCCTCTAAGGTGTTGTTTTCGAAACTATTCACCTTTGTATTTTCATATTTCTGCAAGTAAACTTGTTATATGCCACCTGCTTTGTTTCATGTACATTGCGATAAAAACAATTTCATTCTTGAGCAAGTCTTCCTTAACTTCCAAAAATGTTAAAACCCCGTTAAATGGTTTTGCTAAATATGAAATATTACATACAATGTAGGCTTGTAGGTAGTTACAAAATGTTGCTTTCAGCTACAGTATGATAAATTGTTCCAAGGTTATGGAAAGACCAAAAGAGTAGAGAAGAGGACCATGGGATTCGAAAAAGTGTATGAGAATGAAAAACTGGTTTTCATAGAATAAAAAACCAGTAGCTTCAAAATTGTTATTGAGTTGCTGTAACTGTCAAGACATTTAAGCATAAATAGCTTAAGTGAAATAATCGTCAAAAAACCATCTTGTTCTAAGTAGTACATTGTGCTTTACTTGACTGATAAGGTTAGAGAAACTAGTCAGTGTCATTCATCATTCTTTCAACTTCACGGAAATTTCTGTACTAGAATAAATGCTTAGTTTATTTAAGACTATAAGAATGACAAGCGTTTAGAGATCTGGAAAAATACTAGTCATTTCAAGATTGTGTACACATTTTTGCTGATGAATGCCAAGAAGTGCAATATCTTGACCAAGCACCGTTTCCAACCAAATACCTGGAACAATCTAACACTCACCATTTCATAGGATAATGTCATAAAATTATTTCTTATCGTATATGAGGCTGTGAAGAAATTTTCCTCTTAACGTAATATATTTTTTTTAGTCAATTTTGTCAAATTGAATTTCACAATTATTTTTGTTTTGGATGAAATCAATGAAAACAAAATGGTAATAATTACTTTGTTCTAAATCAAAAACTATGCGATTAATATTTTTCAGTGGCTTACCAATTTCAAGAAAACATTTGCTCTTCTTTTCAGTTCTTGTTTGGTCACATTTATAAAATTAAGATAAAAAAGTAAGATGAAGTTAAACGATGGATTAAACGAAAATGAATCAGTAAAAGATTGAACAATATGCGAAGAGAAAACCTGGTTCATAGAATCATAGAAATTAAGTATAAACTACTTTTCGGAGTGTTTGCCTGTCTCAGTCCTTTGAAGTGTGAATAATTCTCAGTTTCCCATATTTTCAGTAGTGCAAAACTGAAATAACCTTGAGTTTGTGTAGAAACTATATTCCTTGAAATTATTAACTATTCACTGAAGCAAATCCATAATTTTTAGTAGATGTTGAATGGTTAAAGATGAATTTCTATATGATTTTATGTCAAAGTAGTAGCTCCAGCATTATGGAACACTGTCTGGTTAACAGTACTACTGAGTCGCAAAGAAATACAAACTTTCCTTGTTCTTGACTACTGTCATCAGTTCACTGGCTCATTGCCTAGCTCAAATGATCTGCTGATGAAAGATCCTGCTGAACAAATCAAGTCACCCACTGACAGTAATGACATAAAATAAAGTCGTGCTGACTAGAAAGAGGATGTTATTTTGATTAATTGTCAAGAGTACGTTAACAAAATGCTGTCGATCCTCTCCTACCAGGATAAGTTTAATAAATCCGAATGTGAGAGGAATAAAATACAACAGATCAAGACCCAACTTAGAGGTATCTTGAAGAAAATGAGTGGTAGTGCATTGATTTCCTCTGATTTGTATAAACTCATTCAACTCGTTGGTTCGCTAATTCCACGTCTTTTAAAAATAAAATAAAGTAGGATTACCCTTGTGGCCCATCTTGTATATTGAAGGTTCTCCTTAGTATTGTATCTCCCAGGGGTTAGCTGAAATATTAGAACCAATCAGAAGAGAAGTGTCTCGCTATTCTATTCATGATACAGTTCACTTTGTTGAAAAGATAGGAGGCGTTGACACCACCGATAAATTCATGTTTTCCTTAGATGTCACCTAAATCACTAGTGTACGATTCACTGATACTTCTTTATACAAATGTAATTTCATCAACTCACATGATGTAGAAGCGGGAATTCTAACAAAATACTTGAGACAGCTCTTAATGTGATTTATTTTTAATTCGAAATTGAGTTCCGCTTATAAGATGTACCTGAAAAAATGATGGGATTACGAGAGGATCCGAACTGGGAAGTCTGAAAGCAGATTACTTTATGTCAGGATTAGAAATTTTGAATCTTAGCCAAACTGTTAATTATTTTGACATCTGAAAAAGATATATGCATGATATATTCGTTATTTGTGACTCAGATATCGATCCGAACGACATCCTGCACAACTTTAACAGATGTCACTCATCGTTGGAATTCACTGTGGAGGTGAAAGTGGAATTAACTATTCCTTTCTTTGACATTCTGACAGCAAGATATACCGATGGAACACTAAACTTACTAATTTCTACAATTTGGTGCTGATCATGAGGAAACGAAACTTCGTTCACTTACTATTTTATTGAATCTGAGAAAAAGGCGCTAGCGGAAAACAACTATTCAGGCCGATTTGTTGATAAGAATGTGCGAGAAAGACATGCGAAATTAGTCGTCAGTTCAGTTTCTACACAGACTTTGTTGATGAATCTGGAATTTAAAGGTGACGTAGCATTAGGCATCCTTAAAAAGTCGTCTTTCGTAATCAGTTAGTGGGGTATTTTTCACAGACTACCTTCATTTAACCTTTACTAGTCGTAAATCGTTTTGCGTTTATCTAAAAGACAATATCTCTTGACACGCCGCCTCCATGTGTATCTAACAGTTCAGTTGGTCATGTAGAACAAAGTACATCGACCGTAGCCAGGGAGTGCTAGCAACGCGTATACGGGAACATATTCCAGCAACTGAAGTTCTGTCTTGAGCATTTAATCGATTCTAACAACGCAACCGACTCAAACAATGACTTCGAGGTTGCTTATCGAATTCGTTTAATCTTTTCTTGCTTTTTCCGTCTCCAACTTCTAAAGGTGGCAGACGCCTTGGCTGTTCGTCAGCTGAACTTGGTTTGTTTCATTCCATTTGTTTTATCAGCTTCTCCCTTTGTTACATTAATCTTTGTATTGTCATTATTATTATTTCTATTTCGGCATTTAATAATTTCCAGTGTTACTCCATTTAATCTTCCCAATAATTGTAACGTTTAACAAAACATTTTTCAGTCCATCTCAATTGACTTTTCTTATTCATGTCACCTAATCCTTTCGTTGTTTGATGATGCTATCGTGTTTTCACTCCTGTGTAATCTGTGTGCACCGTTTAAAAGGTTTAAAAAGTTCTCATGTAACCTATTTTTATAATCATTCAACCTTTGTGTCACCAACTACCAACATTATTATTGTTATTATAACCACCATTATTTTTATTTAGGCCTACTATTATTTAAGTTAAAATGCGATAATTATGTCCAGAAATATTTTACAGATAATGGATTTATTGAAATATTATATTGCTAAGAATTCCATACCGTATCAAGCATTTTTGGAATGTGGTAATTATTATTATCATTATAGCCACTGTCCATCTTTACTATAACTAGAACACAGGAGCTTATATGTCAACAGAGACAGATCAATTCGGTCCAATCAACGACGGTATAATACAAACAACAACACTATTATTATCAGTATTGTGATTTTGTTGAATTCTTTTATCATGAAGAGCAACTCACGCTTAGAACTCACTAAGTATCTTTTGATTATTTAGTTTCATCTTTTTATAAACAAACACTACAACTGAGACTAATGAACATCACTTTATTTACTACCTGAACCTTCAGACAAGATTGACAAGAATGAACTGGTGGAGGTATGTCCAGCTGATGAGTTCCAAATAGAGTGTAGCGCGACTCCTGGATTCGTCTCCTAGTCACCAAGATCTATATGACATCATGAACAATCAGCAGTACGAAGGCGTCCGCACATGGGCCCATCTACCAACAGAGGTAGAGCTATTTGGCTTTGTATAGCAATTGGAAATTACAAGTTTCATTGCAACAGCTGATACCCGTTGCACAAGAGGTGGGTATCGTGCCCCAGTGACTTAGTAGATAACTCTCTGAAATTTGAAGTAAATGGTATTGGGTTCGAGCTTCTGTGGAACACTCACTGGGGAAGTCACTGAAAACCTGGGAGCACTAAAAGCTGTTCAGTTTCTCTGTGTAGCCTGAAGGTCCTGAGTTTGATCCTTAGCCAAGTCGTAGGTGCGTATTACTGAGCAGTCCTATACTAGGACGAAACAGCTGTCCAGTGCTCTCAGGTTTCTAATGGTTTCCCAACTGATGCCAGTTCATGATGAATACGGCCTCCTAATTAAAATCCCCTTTCACCTCAAAAATACAATTTATAATTATCATCCCCTTTTGTGGAAATGGATCAGGCATGCATGGAGGAGACCACGCGAGGACGTCACGCGCCAGCCCAGGTCGTCAAATAGAACCCAAAGGGGAGAGGACGAGTTGGGCGTCCAAGGGTGACATGGAGATCGCATGAGGAAGAAACGAAAGCTTCCGGGCAGTCGCTAAGCCAAGTTAAGAGACTGCAGAGAAGAGAGTAAAATGGGGACGTGCTACTGAAGCCATAAGTTCCGCTAGGAACCAAAAGGGACAAATAGTATAATGATAATCTCCATTTGTCTCAAAGACTGAATATTTGCGAACCTGCTCAGTCGAATTTTAATCAAAGTTCATATACAGTGTATGAAAACTGTACTTATATAATTTCACAGCAACAGTTTGACATGTCTTAATTACACACACAGAAAAATAGATGAGTGAAAATGGTATATATTAAGGCAGTGTGAAGTAGTTATTATTGCGCATAGACTGGTGACTTGCATCCAGATGCACCAGTACTTAGACGAGAAGTATTTGTGAACTTACATTTGAAACAAGACCCTTTCATACAGTAGATGTTAATTCGAGAAAATATCATCAAAAGAGGTGAATGAATTCACCTTGTATATTGAAGCTATGGTATTATATTTGCGGAAGAAGAATATGCTTGGAAAAAATCCACACTTTCGTGCTCTGTCGTGTAGAGTATGTCAAATAAGCCAACCAATAAATAAAACTTACCATAATCTTGACTAGGACTTGCCAACTGATTTCGGGAGCTTAAATCAGCTATTGTGTTTTGTTTTCGTAGCATCTTCCTTTGGCGCTCGCGGAATGAATTAACTGATGAGACAATTGGTGGACGTTCTTGCCCACCTTCATTTATCGTCCTACAGTTAAAATTGAATCAAAACTTTTAGGCCTAATTAGGAAAAAGTGAACATTTCACAAGCAAATACTAGTAAATAGGCATTACTAAACACCATTGTATCTTTAAAAAGACTATCTTTCGAACAACAATATATCCCAATTGAAAAGGTTTATGAATAGTTCAACAGTTTGTTGAATTTAGCCTTTACTTTGACCAGAGATTAATGCCATCTGAACAATCAACGTAAAAAATGGTTTGGATGCTTCTGAAGAGGAAAACAACATTCATTATAGAAATGTGTTGAGTGGATGGTATTTAAGCCACAATAGTCGTTATCTAATGGACATTAAACATAAGTTGCTTCAGAAGTTAATTGAAATAGCTAGTTGTTTATAGTCGAAAGATAAGGTAAAGTCAGTTGAATTGCTCAGAAATTAATTTTCAAGAGATTTTACAACTATGTTGGAACTGTTTAGAAACGAAATAGCAAAGGATACACATTCTTCTGGTAAAAACCTGACTATAGAACTCATGTCTCTACACTATACAACTTGGACCACATTTTATTCATGGCAAGAACGAGTATTTTGTGACTACTGATTGCTTTGTCGTTTAGATATTCTGAGCTACTTGTCATGAAACCCTTAAACATGAAACATATTCTCTTATCTGAATATTTCTTTTTGATTCGCAAGCTGAATGACTCATGATAACACAGAAGTTCATTTTTGTGTCAAATAATGGACTGTAAACGTGAAGTAGATGTGTCTAAAGCCCTTAGATTTATAAATTTACAGAGATTTACAATTTTATTGAGCTTTACTGAATCAATAGCCATTATATACTTCAAACTTAATCTGTGTAAAAGATCGCATAAGTGATCTCAATTTAGCATTATTTCGGCAACTTAATTTTTGACTAATTTCAATCATTCCTTATCCTCCTCCACTGGAAAATTATCTCTTGTCTTTCCCAATCTGTTTTGAAAAGTTTAACGGTTTGACACACTATGGTAAACTTGTGATTTTTTCAGTTACTTTGCATAATTTAGTAGGTATTTACACATTCTTCTTGAACTTCCTTCTGTTGCAATGCAAACAAATTGTAATGGTCGTTCTTTATTCTGATATTTTGTCCTGGGTGATGTTTGAAGGTGAGGTGAAAATCTGGACCGTGGCCAGTTTCGAGTCAGCAACCATCGGGTAGTTCGCTGCAATGTAACGCGTATGTTATTATACTCCCTATTAGTTCCATATATGTTTTATGCTAGGTGTGGCTTAGATGCCAAGTAGAGGAAATTATATTGATGGCAGATGATTCGAACCAGTCAGCAAAAAGCGCTTCTTAGAGTGAAGTTTTTTACTCGTTTGGCACTCATCGGCAAAGATAAAAAGTGAATATATGTGGCGGTCTCTCAAGCAGCTTAATATGTTGAGAACAAACTGGGTGAAATAGTATGATTAAGTGATGTTTCATCGGACTATTGATCTTTCTTCGAGAAGACGTACTGAGTATTTCATAGAACTGCTCACCATAAATACTAAAGTTGCATAATAACCTCAGTTTCTAAAATAAGATTCAGACTATTTCTTTCTTTTTTCTGATATAGTACGCTGAGATTGCGTAATTAAAATGCAATTAACACAGTGAATCTCATTAATATAGTGCTCAAATAGGCGTATAATATTTTGCTAAGTATACCTTAATAATAATGCTTTACTTAGTATATACGCATAGAGTCCAGAAATGGGTTTGCATGACCACTAGAAACTAATCGTGTAACGTTTTCTGTTGTCCTGTGTAGTTCGACTGACCATAATTAAACAGCGTTTACATACCCAGTGAAGTTATAATGGACATTAAAATGCCTAGTTCTCGATTGTTGAGACACATATCTTTTTGAATGAATGATAAATAAATGAACAGTAAATATTCTCGGTTTAAAAAGCCGTCATGAAAAGTTAGCATTTCAATATTTCTGCATCTCAGTTTGGAGGCTTACGGGGATTTACTGATAGATTTCAAATTGGTATTCATCAGGGACTGACATCAGTTGGAGAAACATTGGTAACCTAGAAGTACAAAACAGCTGTTTTGTCTTTGTATGGGACTACTCACCAGTGCACCCCAACGACATTGCTAGGGATCAAGCCTAAGACCTTCAGTTTTCACGGTCAGCATATAACCATTGATTCCCTGGGTTGGAATTCAGGGGTTCATTTTTCTCACTTCTGCTATTTCACAATATAGCCGGGTCTCTGTGCACCAGTCTAGTCCACACATCCGACATGTCTGGCACCATCGGTCATGATTTCTCAATGGAACTTTGGGAACCGCGTCTCCGTGCAAGTCACTAATGAGAATTAGATTAATTCAATTCGAAGGTTTTTGGGGATTTAGTTGTTTATTTATTTCGTCCTTTTAACCATTTAAATTCCTGTTTTGAAGGTGTCTCAACCATGAAGGATTGAAAGTACCAGTTTAATAACCTGAGAAGAAAGAGGACTCTAGTTGAAAAGCATAAGTAAGGTAATATGGTTATTTTTTTTATTCTGTTCATGCAAAAGTAGTCCATCGGTTTGTCTCATGATATACTGAAGAATACTGTAAAACAGCTGACCAGTTCTCCCAGGTTTTCATTGGATATGTAAATGATTTTAGTCTGTGCTGGTGACTACTTTGAAATTATTCAATCCTCTTAAACCATTATCTGACTGGTTGTAAAGCAGTCATCACTGACTTCCTTCGAAACAGCTTTTTCGAAGTTGTAATGACACGTTGCGATTTATAGGGTTAGTAAATTCAGTTGTTAGCATGAATAGTTTCCTATGATATTAGATGATGGTTACATTATAGCTTTAACTGACAGAAGTAGCAAAACGGAAACCAGTGTCTGACTGTTTTGTGCTTGATTCTAAGCGAGGTTGAAGTTACACATCTTTGATAACTACCAAAGAAAGACAAAGAATTACATATTTTGGACTAAGGACTTTGACGAAGAAAAGATTGGTCGTGTCACAGATCTGTCTACAGAAAAAAAACATAAAGTGAACAATATCTTCATTTCAGCAGCTTATGTTACATAATTTATTAGTAAGGACTAGTTAAAACGCTGTTTAATACAGCTAAGAAACTTCGTTCATCAGGCAGACTGACTGAAGAAATGCACTTCATCGAAAGAGGTTTGAAAGAAAATGGTTATCCTAAGAGATTTATAAATAAAATGAGAACAGTAGAAACAAGGGTATTTGATAAAGAAAGTGGAAGGGGATGAACTCATAAACTGGGCCACATTTTCATCAGCTAAACTAGTTTCTGCATACAAAGCAAAATGTTCACGAAAACAATCGGAAGTCGACAGGTTTCTGCCTCATATCACCTAAAAGTGTATCTACCAGTTCACATATATATATATATATATATATATATCAGAGTACGTACACTGGAAGGAAATGGATGAAGACTCAAACTAGATTTCGTGAACTTATTACAAATAAATTAAGCTTGGAGGAGCCAAAGCCACCTTTAAGTCCCATTAGTAAACATCTGATGGACACAGGAAAGCATTTAAAATTGTTAACAAGTAAAAAGTGCTAAGCTACTAAGATTCGCACGTGACAGCCATCAGAAGAATTAGACCAAACTTGAATATCGAAAGAGAGGCAGTTGTTAGCCTCCATCTCCCACGGTATCCGCTGATTTGTTTCGTCATTCAGTAGAATCCTTTGCAAAATCCTGCAGCTTCATCCGCGTTTGAAACCAAATTCATAATCAATTCCTATTTTATCACCACCAGTTTACTACTTGGCCCTGTCTGACTTGATCTTTCCATTTTGATTGGTCACATATAGCAGGGTGACAATCTGACTAGATAAACCCAAGACAACTTCAGTTTGAGTAATTACAAATCCTTTCAATTAAACAACCCTAATCCATATCATTTCTCCATTATGTCATCAATGGACTATCGTCCATTTGATAAGTGAATTATGTAGATTTCATTTCTCTATCCATCTATATCTTATGAATGTATAGACAATATGAAGTTGAAGAGAAGGCGAAAAAATACACTAAATTCATCGTATTCCACTAAATTTATTTTTCTAGCTTTTTTAAAAGACAAAACAGTCAATTAGAGCCTCTACGACGTCAATCGTTCTCCTTTTGACTTTAGTCTGTGATGAATACTTTCTTGAAATAATTAAGTTTTTCAGTTAAAATAAACTTTTTTCTAAGAGTAAAAGTAGCGATTCGTATCGAAGTGAGCTGATAGTGAGTTACAGATGAGATGCCTATACACTAAAAATTATACTTCAGTATTATCGCGAAGCAGGTTTGGATCAATATATAAATAACACATAAGCCGGGATATTTGGCTAGTACATTTTGGGACAAGTTTTCAACTTATAATCAGACACAATTTTTCATCAGCTTTTCCTGTACAAGTTTAGGTTATCATACAAAAATTGAACATGATAAATTGGCGTTCTGCGATATCTTTTATGGCTTAAGCGTAATCGTCTGTCAGCATAAAAATCTTGTCAAAATGGAATAAATACCAAAATATATACATGTTGAACCTTGTTTTTATCTGAAATCTATTCGTGAAAAGTATGAATCAAAGTAAGACATGACTGGAAGCTTCTGAACGTTTGTTCTGTACCACATGATTGTTATAATTTAAACCACTTTGCAAACAGTATGCATTCTACGTATTGTGTGAAACAGTTATGTTGCACACATTATTATTATTATTATTGGTGGTGGTAACAGTAAACATAACATCTGACATTATCTTTTACAATTCAAACGTACAAAAATCAGTAGATGTTGAAATACAGGTCAGTGGCAACAACAACACCAGCATATCAACTTACTTGTTAGGATTTTGTGATGTATTCACAGTGTCTTGATTTTCAACTTCGGATTCTCCAATAAGATTCTGTGGATAGAATGAATTAAAATAAAAATAAACTTATTAAGTTGACATTGACAACGTGGTAAAAAGTACTTCAAGTTTAATCCAGCACTTTTGTTAAGGTGTAGAAATAAAAGTCTTCATTATTCAATTAGTGATTAATAAGAATTGAATAGTTTGAAGGTGGTTTCCCAGACGGATTTAAATTACTTGGAGTACCAATGAAAACCTTGAAGTAGAATACAAACAGCTGTTCCGTCTGTTTGTTGATCACAGTGTTTCTAATCTTTTTCATGAACGCTTAATTCAACACTAAACGTTGGATGTCAAAGCTATGGAATGGATATCTTCTACGTTTACGTCTGGTTCATACAGTCATGCGTTCACAATACAGGGATCAAAGCTATTTTATAGGATGGTATTCATCACGAACTGACATTACTTGGAGAACCACTGAAGACCTGGGACTACTGAAATACCCTTTCTTCCTAACAGAAATGTTGTCAGTACGACCCAGCAAGGATTCAACGTGCAACCCACAGGTCTCTGGACAAAAGCATAACTATCCAGCCACTGGGTTGGAATTCAGTGCCCTTCATTCGCATACTACTTTCATTTCATATGTAGCTACGATCATTCATTCAGATAGGTGCTAATCGGAGATCTATAGAAAATGTAGCTGTACGTTTTAGCTATACTGTCCTAGTTTTGGATTTTGAAACGGTGGATAATATTTGTAGCTCAGGTGGATGGTCTTGGTTTTATTGTGTTCTCTGAGTTGGGTTGTTTAACCGTAGAGCTTTCATCGTCTTGCTAAACGATAACATAAGCACCAACTTAAGTATGAAGTCCTACATTCACAGGTTCGATCCTGAACACGCGCCACTGAGAAATCCTAAGATGAATACAGATTGGATATCCAGTGTCGTTAGGCTTTCAGTTGTTCTCGACTTATTTTCAGTTCGTGACGAAACGTGAATCTGAAGTCAATCGATCCTGTTAGACGGTTACTCTAGATCTAATATAACCACTTTGTCACATAACCAATTGTTCTCATTTTGAATTGAATTCACTAACTTTTTTTGTAGAAGAAATTAGGGTTCAACAACCTGTGAACAACAACGTTCTTTAAGACTGTTGACAAAACAAATTGGAGTCCAACTCTGAAAGCGTTTAAAATTAAGATTTTTAGATTAGTAGGTGAAACAATAAAATCATAGTAGTTGGAATGAGTGGTTTGAGTCTGTCTAGATTTTCTTTCATCCATATTAACCATTAGTTTCCTACGAAGTGACGAAAACAAGTTTTCACAAAGACCTGAATTTTGTGAAATTTAATATTGATTGATTAAGTTTTTTTCGCATTAACAACTCCCTTTTTGTTAACTGTTAGTTTCAAATAATTAAAAATTGTTCAACTGAGCCTGACTCCATTATTTTTGCCTACTTTTCACTGGCTTTATACTCTAGGTCACTTGAGGTGAATATGAAACAGACAGTGTTACATTTGAAGTTACAAAATCAGAAGAAGAATAAAAAAAATCAATTCATTCATCTCAATGTAGTACAGAATTGAGAAATTTAGGAACAGTATATAGGCAATAAAACAATACTAATCATATCGAATATACTAATACGACAAAAATGGCAAGCGGAGATTACTTTTCTGTTTTAAATTATGAATAAAATACCCCACAATTTGTAGCCTAAATTCCATCTTTATCACTTATTTCTTTCCGATTGACAGTCAGGTGGTTAGACAGGTTACCACTGAGGTCAGTGTTCTAAAAATCAAATAATCGCTGAAGAATGAGTGACAGACTACGAAATTCTGCCTTAAATATTATCCTTTTTGTTTTGATGTCACTGTTCGGAAATTGAACTTAATTAGAAAACGTTTCAGCCCAGTATGTTGCCAGTTTGGTTTATCAATCTCTGTCTGATGAGATCACTTAATGTCGTCATACCTTCCTATTTCTTCATTTCTTGACTCCAAGTTGATATTCATCATAGACTGACATCATTTGGAGAACCCTTGGGAGCCTTGGAGCACTAGATAGCTATCTCCTACTAGTATGAGATTTCTAAGTATTTCGCACCCATGACCCCACTCTGTACGATGCGAACCAAGACCCTTTAGGTTATCAATGAGCCACTGAGTTGCGATTTGGTGGTCCATACTTCCTATCTCTATTGACTTACACTATAGATCGATATCTATCTAATGCCGTCATTAAGTAACTGTTCTCATATCCAATCTGGTTAGCCATAACAGTCACGACTTCTCATTAATACTTAAAGAATCATCTGCCGAAGCTCGTCATTTTTGATTCTTTTACTCGGAATTTTCTCAGAACTCCCTTAATTTTCAGCTTCTTCATATGCAACTTTCTCGAGTTCTTTGCTGTAGCTGACGATCTCCGAACAGCAAGAAATGAGCATCCTGAATTCTGCTGCGAGCTACTAACCATCATTATTTCATACACTGTTTACGATCTGCCATATTTTAGACTGTCAGGCCTTTTGATGAATGAGACATGCTTATTATATCAGCAATAAGTAAACACGATTCGTTCATAAGTAAAGAATCTAACTTATTTAGCCCTACAGGCATAACATAAATGTCAAAATTATGACTGTTTTGAATGGGATCCTATAAAGTCCCCATTTAACTTAACTAAATATTATCAAGGGAGTGCATGGATCTGGTAAAGTTTAGAAATCGAAGTTATATCTTTACTAAGCAGTCATCAGCTTTGAAATTCACTTGACTTTTTATATAATAATCACATTTTTATCCAGAAGCTTCAGTGAACATTTCTCCCTCTGTTCAGTATGTTAATGTTAATAAGGTTAAAAAACCACAAAATTGCTCATCAACTTAAATGAAATCACAAAGCCTTTATTACATATTGGCCTGAAGCAATTATGCATATAGTTTCAAGAAATAAACTGTTAAAAGTGATTTATTCAGTATGTAAATAAGAAAGCTGTAAATCCAGTTTCACTTGGCAAAATGCCTAATGTGAGAATACATGACTGTTCCATCTACCACCATCTTCAAAGTTGTTCTACTTTGAGAAGGATAAATGGAATGGCACTACTGGATTGCAGAGACTGGATAAAGACTTCAAATATCAAACTAAAATTGTTATGATTACCGCTGGCTATATATGGCAGAAAGGGGTGGTTGTTAACCTGTTTCTGGAAAGTGACCACAATGGTATCAAGAAGCAACGTTAATGACATAGCCAAATGAGGTTAGCTAATCTTTGATATGGAGACCAATATGGTGGGCATTACTTGTATGAAAGGGGTTAGAATAAGCAGTACATGGTGTGACTTTTAATAAGAGTTACAGTGACCGATAATCGATTAGAAAAGCTTTGATGACGAGAAAAATCAATACTGTTCGTCAAACAAATGGAAGATAAAAGATTAAGTAAGAAAACCCGATAAATGTCTTACTCTGATGATTAGTACACTTATTACCAGGGATTGTGTCTTTCCAGCAAGTCGTTGAAACATGCATTTGCAATGACATAACCACCGCGTATGGCAAAGGACAAACAGTCATTAGATATTCAAGGAGCTGTGGTCATTCTGATGATATCCGCTGCTGATCTATTAGAGTAATGTTGATGCATGCATTTTATAATCAATATACGTAGCGAATTTATCATCGTACTTCTATTAGATATAGTTGCGATATAAGTAATGCAAAATACCCACTTAGCGATCTGTCAGAAATTGCGAATCAAATCCAGTTTTAGTTTTCAAATGTGCCCTCAAGACATCTATATTTGGAACTGTATTTTTTTTTCTACCCCTCATTTTTCTAAGCACAAAATGTTCTGAAACTCACAAACTGTTATCAAATGAAGTATACTGATGAGATTACTGAGAAAAGTATCTTTTTTTCACTTGAATAATCCTAGATTTTTCTCCACCAACACAGCTTTTTGAACGTCATGATCAACGTAATTTTTTCATTCTAAGTTTCATTTGTTCTTGTTATCCATCGTTCACGTTTTTCATCACAGTAAGGCATTACCTAACCGAATATCTATTTCATTGAGTAGTTATCTAGCTGTGGGGTGGGTAAATACAATCTACTGCTGCAGTTCAGCTGGTGAAATGTATTGAGTAAACTTTGTGGTACTGAAGCCAACTGCAACAGACTGTGCTCATTCCCTGTTGATTTGACCCCAAAGTAAATAGTTTTGCCACTGGAACCTGGAGTGATTCCGTCTGGAAGCACGTTAGTAATGAGTATGAGATTGTAAATTAATTAGGTGTTTTGTCAGTATTGATTTATTTGGACTTGGAATTCGTCACGCGGAACTGCATATTTCAGGATATTTTTTCACTTCATCTAAATATCACCTATGCATGTACAATTAAAATATCTATACTGAAAATGAAATGTTTATCCTGCAAAACCAAGACCAACAAAAAATCTTAGGTAGGAAACACACTGTATTTGCTTAGATGTAAAACACAGACATGCATAATATCTTTGTTAACTTACTTTGTTGTCAATTATAGCTGATCTCCTACCACGTCTACTTGCTAAATCAATCTGCTCATTATATTGTCCACCTTGATTAGTGCATGTTGCTGATCCTGTAGTCTGTTCACTTGTTGATACTGGTTTTGTTGGCATCGGATCTGATTCACCAGTTCCAGAAGATGATGGAACTGTATCTAGTTCCAGGCTTTGCCAACTTTCATGTCTTTGTAAATGCTAAATTTAGTATTATAAATAATAACAGGAATAAGAATACATATGGCGTTATAGTACGTATATATCAATATATACATATATATGTATATCAATCGAACCTAGAAAATTCTATGGTGTGAACAATCAGTTTCTTCTTCTTCTGACTGCAATAATTCCAAATTCTTTTAAGTATGTAAGTTCCGAAAAAGGGACATATAAAGACAAAAACCAGCTATTATGAGACATTGGCATACGGGGAACACTAGCCGCTTACCTAGATTAAAAAAGAATAATAATGAGCAACAAAAGTCAATATATATATATATATATATATTTATTGACGTTCTGCGAAACAGAGAGACTAACTCTGCTACACTGCACAAACTTCAACCAGGAATCTTTAGTCTGTCTTATTTTCGTCTATAAAGCAGGCATTTTAAAAAGGGAAGGATTACTAACAACCCTTAATTTAAAGTAACTAGTTTTTGAGCTTTTCTGTCCCTTAGCAACACATCGTATCATAATATCAAAAAGAGGTGTGCTGTTCTTGAAGTGATTTGATAGTGAATCAAGATAGAAGGCATATTTAGTTATCGCATGAAAACAGTTGTTTTATGACTAAATTGTTCTCACATTTGGTTCACTGATAATATTCCACAAATCATCAGTCAGTAGTTCGTGTGGAAAATTTACTCCATATTAGGTACATTCGACTTTTGAATCACTGAAAAAGTTTATTTGAAAAAATAGGTGCAATTTTCTTAAATACTGAAAGTACTTGTCAATAGGCATTGAAGATTTCAAACAACTGAAGATTCCCATAACAATGATGAATAGCAACAATCTAAACCTTTTTCTACACGTCCATCAGTTCTCCTTTAGGATAAACGAGGTTGACATTACGTTTTATTAATTTATCAGGATATCCATTTCCACTTAGAATATCTTGGATGCACAGTAGTCATTTTAGCTACACACTTTGGAAAAAATCGATCTTATTTTAAACCCCAGCCGCCTGATTATATTGCATCTATACTTCATCGGCATGAAGCTGAGAAAATGCTTATACTATGCCTTAAATGTTGGTTTTTCCCAAATTCTTCTCCGAATAGGGCGATCTTTTCTCGTCATTAGCATATCAAGAGAATGTATCCAGTCATTCATTTCATTGTCGTATGTAAAATAAATTGATAGATGAGCGCATATGATTTCAAACAAGAACTAATAACCCTGCAGAAGATAGTTGCTTGAAATCTTATAATTCTCCTGAGCATCCCATTGCGCTGATTGTTCTCAACGAGTTCCTGAAGTTAAGCATAAGGTTCTCTGAATCAAGAATACATGCTGAGTTCATCAAAGATTGCATTCAGAAGAATTAATATCCGAGAAATTACTGGAAGGCCCTTGGAAGGAAGAGAATTCTAACCAATGTGAAATGTTTAAAACGGTATGCACTTAACCACCTTGAATCCATTCAGTCACATGTAATCGAATTCGAATTAAACATATCGCAAAGGAATTATACACTTCTCGATATACCACAAAATTTGAGACTGAAATTTACTGAATACGTAAACCAAATTGCACAATCCACGTCTGCTAAGAAACGAATATTACTACCGAACAGTCTAGACGATCAAGTTCCCCAATATAAATCTCCGAAAAATCCAGAAAAGTATGTTCATAATTATCCCAGTACTATACTCAATAAATTGCAGACGGAAATTCCATCCCTTGAGAATAAGTTTTGCGTCTTTCTCAAGCAAATTAACCAAACCGATACAAATGTAAAACTTAAGCTTCTATTTACACAAACAGCCTATTTGATTGCATCATCTAGTGCAGAGTTGGAAAAATTTAAATCAACTCTAGTGGACTACTGCTATCAGTACAAAACAGTTAAAATGTGTCGAGAGGCACACTGACTAAAGAATATCGTGAGGCTTTCAAAGGATCAGAAAAAAATCACAACATCATTATCAAAAGGTCTGATAAAAGAGCTGGAGTCGTGATTATAGACGGAGTTGATCATGTTCAGTAAATGGAATTAACATTGGAAGACGAATGAAATTCCAGAGAATGCAATAGGGAAAAGACCTAGCCGAAAAAGCAGAAAAGGACCTAGTCATATCACTAGAGAAACTGAAAGATAACGGACACATTTCATCAACCTTATTTGAAAATTTGAAGCCTATACGCAGTACGATTCCACGAATGTCTGGTCTACCAAATTTATACAAACCTGAAGTGCCTCTTCGTCCCATCCCAGACATGACCAACTCGCCTTACCATACTATGGCTAAATGGCCGGTACGATTATTTCAACCTTTTGCGTGACCAATTAGTAAAATATAATGTGAAAGATACCTTCCAGTTTGTAGACAAAATAAAAAACTTGAGTGCATGGGATCCCTAGATGTCACATCTTTGTTTACTAACATCCCTGAAATGGAAACCATCGACTTTATTTGGGAACAATTATAAGGAATAAAATTATACATCGGCATTCTGACTATGAGTTCGAAAGAGCTATTGCTAAAATGTACAATGAATTTGCAATCCAGTTTAAAAAGTCTACTTTGCATCTATGATATTCTAAGTGAAAACGGATATCCGGACAAGTTAATCAAAGGTAATATCAACTGCATAGATCCTAAACGTGACCTAATGATCGTGGATGAGAAGGTTTAGATTGTTGATATTCATCAGTATGTATTTACTTATCTCGCCTAAGGAGAATAAACTATTTTCATTTTTAGATCTTCTGACCTCGATACATATACTTATTGTTGATCACAGTCAGTTCACTTTGAGTTCAAATCGTATAAAATTTTATTTTGTGAAAATATTCCTTGGACAACGTAAAGTGAGACTTTTGACTTAATGACTTGAAATATGCGTAAGTGAAGAGCATCTACCATCACTGTTCATTCCATTTTACACCATAATAAGTAGCTATGATGCAATCCAGAAACATGGATACTGATGTTTACGGAGCACTAGAATGTTCCAGTTATTGCTTGAAATGAAATTTGTTTCCTTTCTGCACTATTATTACCAACTTAAATAATCAGTCAGTTTGATAATTTGGTTGGTTTTGACTAGCAGAAGAATCTAGGACGTGTGTTTCGTCCTATCTGAGACTCATCAGCTGGATGTAACTGTACGGGTAATAACTACTACCCATTGTATATGAAGTGTCTATCGTTCCTCCATAGCACAGTGGACAACCACTTGGTGTTTAAAGTGATGGGTACGAGGTCCGAGTGTCAATGGGAACAACATCACTGGGGTGCAGTTACTTTCGGCTGATGAGTCCCAAACAGGACGAAACACGCTTCCTGGATTTTTCTGCCAGTCACAGCCAACCAAATTGTCATAAATAATATTCAGTCAATATCGAGGTATCCGCATAGGAGCCCATATGTTAACTGAGGTCGAACAATTCCACCCAACAAAACAACAGAGAATAACAAGTATTTCAATAAATAGTTTACTACCAACCTCAAGTGTTTAACATATTTGTCTTATTTTTGTTTTTATTTACAGCTATTCAATGTCCAGTGATGTTTCATTAAGTTAATAATGGTTATATTTTCAGTTGCACATATTTAAGTATACTTTTCTTGGACATTTAATTAACACTTGTGTTTTTTTTAACTTTGTCATTTCAACTGACAAACTAATATTGACCAGAAAATAAGTGAAACTTTGATTAAAATTTTGAATAGTAGATTAAGACTATTACTGTTTGCATAAAATAAAATGTATTTAGTGTAAGTGGAAAGATGGAAGAACTTTCACAGTCTTTTGCTATCTACTCGCTTTGATAAGACATCTCTTGGAAACGATTCATTCAGTGTTGACTAGCAGTCATAATCACAAATATATCAGAAAGGTTGTGTGCAAGTATTTTCTCAATAATGATGCTTTTCACAGAAAATATCTTGTATATAGCAGATAGCATGCTTAACATAGATTTCCAAAAATGAAGAGGAGTCGATCACAAGGAGTTAATTGCCTGAAATAAATCTTTTGTTCGAGTTACATTAATCCTTTTCACCAATGCTTAGATCCATAAATATTCATTCTATAGTTATTAGAAATTTCCTTCAGAGAAATTTGTATATCATGTCTAAGTGTATAAAGATAAAGATTGTTTCAGTGGAATCTCATTTAATAGAGTTCTTTATTGAAAAATCTACCGGCTAAGGCACTACTTTTTAAGAAGCCTTACTTTAACCTAAACAACTACTTAAGTTGTTTCATAGTAATGCATTTCATTAATTCATGAGATCCTTGTATGTCAGAGATCACACACTATTATCTTGACTAGGCAGTTTTCAACAGAAAACCTGACATCACAGCTGCCAGTTGAAAAAATTCCCAGCTGTACAAAATGTCAAGGCAGACTGCGTAGTTTGTCAGTCATTTGAAAACTGACTAACGTATTTAAGGCATGCAGGTACATGCAAATCAACCAGCCAGACTCAAATGAGCGTGACTAATTCAGATATTTGTGCTGATTTTGTCGCAGTACATTACTTATGGGCTGGCTTTGCTCAAAACGAGCGAAACAACCATCCGGTGTTTGTGTCACTGTGGTCTGGGTGGCGAAATCTACAGCTCAGCTTGCTTAGTTTCTAACTACTGGAGTTGTTTTTTATCAAGGTAGTCTCAATTCAAGCTTTTTAAGTACACTTTGGACAAATGAACTACTTTTGTTCTTATCAGGTCCTTTTAATAGGGTAATATATGTCTTTTAATGCGACTAAATCATAATAAATAGCTCAACATTTTTATGTGGAAAAATTGCGAATTTGATACAATTATCTAGATACTCAGTCAGTCTAAGACATGCATTTTGCGTCCTTATTTTGGCTTGGTGTCTTTGACATGAAAACTTTCAGCCACTCACAAATTAACCAGATTTCATGCCAAAATCGTTTTTTTCGAAACGGTTGATTCCTGAAGTTTCAGTGGAAAGTCGTGACTAGTGGGGCAAACTTGGGGGACATGAG